CCATTGTATACATAACACCACATCTTCTTTGAGATTGGAATTGTTGCGATGGGCATTGGGTGCATGTAATTTTCCGAGTCAGTGTTTTCATTTCCTTGGGATAAATATCCAGAAGTGGAATTACTGGGTCATATGGTATTTCTATTTCAAATTTTTTGAGAAACATCCCTACTGTTTTCCATTGTAACTGCACCAGCTTACATTCCCACCAAGATTTTCTTTTCTTAAGAAAAACAAAAAAATCTGGGGTACCTGGGTGGCTCAGTCAGATGCTTAAGTGTCCAACTCTTGATTTCGGCTCAGGTCATGATTTCAGGGTCCTAGGATCGGGCTCCCCACTCTGGGATGTCCGCTTGTCTCTCTCTCCCTTTGCCCCTGCCCCACCGCTTGCACTCTTTCTCTCAATAGATAAATAAGTCTTTTTTAAAAATCTTCCAAAATTATTCCAAATTTAGTATTTACCTCGATTTCTAATACAATCATATTTATGAGTATCCTTAACTTAAATTTAAAAGAGACTAAATTCACATCACATACAATTAACTTTTTTAAATGTACGATTCAGTGGTCTTTAGCATATCCACAATGTTGTCTAACCACCAGCTCTCTCGTTTCCAAACTTTTTTAATCACCCCATAAAATACTCCATAGCCATTAAGCAGTCTCTCCCATTCCCCACAACTCCCCATTCCCTAGTAACCTCTAACCTGTCCCTATGGGTTTGTTCACTCTGGATATATATCATACAAAAGAAATTGTGGAATTGTGACCTTTCTTCTCTTAGTATAATTTTTTCAAGTTATCTAAGTTGTAACATGTACCAGTACTTTGTTCCTTTCATGGAATGAACAGTACAGCATTTCATAGTATATATTTGATTTATTTCTCTCTTTATCCATTGATTTATCTCTTTATTTATCTCTTTATCATGATTTATTTATCTCTTGATTTTATTTATCTCTTTATGGACATGATTTATTTATCTCTTTATCTATTGATGGACAAATTGTCTTGTTTCTACCTTTTGGTTATTATGAATAATACTGCTATAGACATTCATGTTCCAGTTTCCCTGTGGATGTATTTTTTTGTTTCTCTTGGGGATATACCCAGGCATGGGATTGCCAGGTCCTACGGTAATTCTAGGTTTAATTTTCCAAAGAACTGATGAACTATCTTCTACAGCAACTGTGCTAGTTTACATTCTCACCAGCGTCCCTATTTCTCCACGTCCTTACCAACACGTGCTGTGTTCTATTCTCTCGACTTAAGCTTTCCTAGTGGGTGTGAAGTGGTATCTCACTGTGGCTATAATTTGCATTTCCTTAATGAGACACAAAAATAGAAAAATAAAGGAGATTAATTTAAAAATTATAAAATTAATAAAACCAGAAGTTGCTTCTTGGAAAAGATTTAGCTGTCTCTTTTCTTCTTGGCCAGTCTAGCTAGATATTTGTCAATTTCGATGACCTTTTCTAAGCATCAGCTTGTAGTCTGATTTTCTCCATTTTTTCCTATTTTCTATTTCATTTATTTCCACGCTTATCTTTATGATATCTTTCTTTCGGCTTGCTTTGCGTTTAGTTCGCTCTTCTCTTTCTAGTATCTTAGGATGAAAGTTTAGGTTACTGACTTGAAATCTTTCTTCTTTTTTAATACAGACATTGAGAGCTATAAGTTTCCCTTGAAACGCAGTTTTGGCTACATCCCATGTACTTACATATGTTGTGTTTTGGCTTTTGTTCATTTTAAGGTATTTCTAATTTCCCCTGTGGTTTCTTCTTTGACCCACCGATTATTTAGGAGGGAAGTTTTCTATTTCTACATATTTGTGAACTTCCAAACATTTCTTCTGTACTAATTTTTTTAAGTTTATTTATTTATTTATTTATTAATATTTTATTTATTTTATTTGACAGAGATCACAAGTAGGGAGAGGCAGGCACAGAGAGAGGAAGGGAATCAGGCTCCCTGCTGAGCAGAGAGCCCTATGCGGGGCTCCATCCCAGGACCCTGGGATCATGACCTGAGCTGAAGGCAGAGTCTTAACCCACTGAGCCACCCGGGTGCCCCTCTTTTTTTTTTTTTTAATATTTTATTTATGTACTTGTGAGAGAGCGCGAGAGAGCACAGAGGGAGAGGGAGAAGCAGGCTTCCTGCTGAGCAGGAAGCCTCATGCGGGACTCGATCCCAGAACCCTGAAATCATGACCTAAGCTGAAGGCAGCTGTTAAACTGAGCCACCCAGGTGCCCCTAGTGCATCTTTTTGGTTCCCTGTTTCATTTACAGTGTTTTTTTGAATTATCTTCTTGGGGTTCCCCTGGGCATTACAATTAGCAGCATCTTCACTTAACACGATGTAGTTTGTAGTTTGTAGTTTGCCTGGGTGGTTCATTCAGAACATGAAGAATGTGCGACTCTTGATCTCCGGGTCATGGGTTCGAGTCACACATTGGGTAGAGTGATTACTAAGATAAATAAATAAATAAACTTAAAAAAATAAACAATACTGAGTTAATTTTAATAGTGTATAAAAACTTTGCTTCAGTCTAGCTCCATTTCCTCCCCGCACCTTCATACAATTACTGTCATACAGATCTCATCTGTACAGGTTGTAAGCCTGTCGACAGTTTTATAATCATTGCTTTATGCAGTTGCCTTTTTTTTTTTTAATTACGGGCTTGAAATTTCATTTTATTTTAAAGTAGGCTCCATGCCCAACGTGACGTTTGACCTCAAGACCCCGAGAGTATTTCTCCTGGGGCAAGCCTGCTAACGACAAACTGTTTTTCTTTCCTGGAGATGTCTTCATTTCTCTTTGTTTTTGGAGAGCAAAACCTACTACCAAAGCCCACTAGAGCCCGGCGAAGGTGGCCCAATGGGGGGCTTAGACTTATCCTGGCTCCACCAGCTTATTAGCTGTGTGAACTTGGACAGGTCCAGTCACTTCTCTGTGCCTCAGTTTCCTGCTACATAAAATGGAGATAACAGTGTGTGGAGCTCATTTGCCAAACAAAAACAACCTGGAGGTGGGGGAGGGTAGAGAAAGGAAGGAGGATTCAGTGCCTGAGCTCTGCTCTACCCAGCTTCAGGGCTCTCCCCTAGATTCTCCTGGATGAAAGTCACCTGCTCTTCCTACAGGATACTATGCTCATCAGAGGCAGCCTGGAAGTTGGCAGAGGCACCTCTAGCACCACGACATTGAAGGAAGCCCATCCCATGTTGTAAACTTACACGTGTGGCGTAAGGCAATGGGTAAAACCCACTCTTGTTCTCCTTGGATATACTGCCTGGGCCTGGAGTGATGCCCGGGGTCAGGATGGGCCTATCAGTGGCCTGGGTCTTGCCCAAGCTTCCTGTCTGCTGGGCAGCAGCTCTGGACCATTCTGAAGGTCTTGAGAAGGAGGATGGTGGGCATCTACCCTGCCTCTGGAGGAATCCAGAAAGCACATGGAAACCTCTTGCAGCAATGACCGTCAGCCACCCTTCGGGCTTGTATTTTGCTCCCATGTCATTGCTCATACGAGTCCCCAAGGATACCCACAGAGCCAGCAGGAGGCATAGGTGCCCCCAGTCCAGCCCCATCCCCCTTCCCCAACCCAGCCCCACTCCTGCCCTTCCCTCCGTCCCCCTTCCCTCCTTCCGAAACAAGCCACACAGCTGATTCGTGCCTCAAGGAAGGCCATTTATTTCCAAGATAGAGACTATACTTTTAAGACAGGACTTTTCAGAAGCAGGAAATCTTAGTTGTCGCCTAGAGAGGTGTGTCAAGGACACAGTGAAAGGAGACATGCGTACGTGGGGCCAGAGGCTTATCCAACACTGTTACAACACTTTTTTAAATGAGCAAAACATCTTTAAAAATCCTTATAAATTCTTTATAATATGTTACACATTTAGAGACAATATTTACAATAAAAGGATGAGGGAGGGAGGAGAGAGAAATCTACTTTACAGCAAATCTTTGCATAAAACAAGAGGACCGACAGACGTGGCAATGGGGTTCACAACCCCGCCCAGGCTTCCCTGGAATAAGTGAGGGCATGTGTGGGGAGGCCTGGTGGTCTGAGGTCTATTTACAGAGTGTGGGGAGAAGAGGGGGCTGGGTCCCGCCCATCCTGAAGGAACAGCCCAGCTCAGATCCCATAAATCAGTGTGTGTGTGTGGTGTGTATGTGTGTGTGGTGTGTGAGAAAGAGGGAGGGAAGGAGAATGAGAGAGAGAAAGAGAGGGAATGAGACACCAGGGATGTTTCCTACGCCCCCTCCAAGGAAGAAGGTGGGGTCTGTGTGCCTGAGTTGTGGAAGATGCAGGCACAACTGGAAGAAGGACAAGGCAGGCAAGGGAGGTTCGGGGGGGGGGGGGCACTGGCAGCTAGCTCCCCATGGTCAACACACTTAGTGAGGGTGGTTTCCAGGTTGGCAAAAAGTTGGTAAGGGGAGTAAGCCTGGGAAGAGTCTCAGTCCTGCCTCTGTGGAGTGGCCCTGACTTCCTTCCCCGGCTCTGACAAACAACAGAGGGCAGGATCCCGGAGGCAGCAAAGGTAGGGAACCCCGCTGTGATGTGAGCCGTGTGGCCAGTGGGGGAACGAAGGGGGCAGGAGTGGCAGAAGTTGCTACCAAAACACCTTCTGACGGTGACTGGCGCACTGCCACACAGGCTCTCCCTCCCCCGTGGACACCCTCCATCTCCTCTCCCCGCACAGATATACACTCCCTTCCCTCAGCAAGGAGCTAGGAGCTAACGGCAGGGGCAGAGGAAAGGAGCCGAGAGCCAGCATCACCCCGCGTCTTTCCTTTAGTCTGAGACTTGGCGGTTCCCTATCCGCATCCCATAGCCAACAGGGGTCTCTAAGTGCAGACACAGAAGGGCCCAGAAGGGCCCACTCTGTCACTGAGCCCCCAGCAGCCTGTCCCCTCCAGTGTCCCCCTCCCCTTACCTCCGGGGTCCCCTCCCGCCCCCGCCTCGCTCAGCCAGGCCTTCTAGCCGGCCCACCTCCTACCGATCCCCGCACACAAACTAGACAGACGCGGCCTGCAGCGCCAGACGCAGCGGGGGGGGGTGGGGGGAACGAAAGAAGAGGCGCAAGCCACAGAAGACTGGGGGAGGGGAACCGGGCGGGGGGAGGGGGGCTGGTCACAGACACTGATGGAGGCGCGAGGCGGCCGAGCGGCGCGAGGGCTGGCTCTGCAGGGCCCCCGGGTCCCCGGGCGGCAGCGAGGCCGCGGACGACGGGGCCCGCGCCTTGGTGGACTCCAGGCTGCTGAGGCCTGAGTCCTTGTTGTCGTTGTGTGCCCGAGGGCCCGCGGGCTCTGAGGGACCGCCGCCGCCGCCCAGTTCCTTCCACTCGTTGAAGTTGAGGTCGGTCAGCGGGCTCTGCACCACCACCGTGTGGCGTCGCCAGCTGCTCCGGCGCCGCCGCGTCTCGGGCGACAGCGGTCGCCGCAACCGCACGGCCAGCATGTCGTCGGCAGTGCCGCGGAGGCGCAGCCGCAGCGCCTCGATGCGCGACGGCCGCGAGCCCAGCGCCGCCACCGCCGCGGCCGCCGGGGGGCGCAGCGACTCCTGGCTGCTGGACGAGGCCGAGCCCGGCGGCTCCGCGGCGCGCACCCCGCCGCGTCCCGCGCTCGCGCCCGTGTCCCCGCCCGCGCCCTCGCCATCCGGGCGGCCTCGGGCCAGGCGGCGGCGTGCCAGCGTGTCGCAGGGAATGAGGCGGTGCGAGCTGAAGGACGGCCGGCGCGCCGGACGCCCCCCGGGCCCCGCGCCGGCCTCCGTGTCCGTCTCCACGTGGCTCAGCTCGCTGCGCTCATCGTCCGCCTCGTCCCCCGCGCCCGGCCGCCGGCCCCCGGCGCCCGAGCACACGCTGCGGTCCATGGTGGACAGGGTGGAGTAGCCCGAGACGATGGAGCGCGTGTCCGCGGCCGGCCGCTCGTCCGGCGCCGCCGGGGGGCTGAGGCGGCCGGGGGCCTCGGGGGCGGCGGCGGCGTCGGCGGCGTCGGCGGCGCCCGGCAGCGGTCCCTCCGGCTGGTCCCGCGCCCCCGGCGCCGGCGCCTCGGGCTTGTGCACCTCCTGCTCCGAGTCGTCGTCGGTGCTGCTGCCCAGCCCCCGCGCCTCCCGCCGTTTCTTCCGCTTGCGGTTGACTGCCGAGATGAAGGAGATCGCCAGCATCTCCCGGGCGTACGGCTCCTTCTTGGGGGCCCACGAGCCCTGCGCGGGAGACAGGCCAGAATGCAGGAGGCGCCCCCGCACCGGGGTCCGGCCCCGCGCTCCCTCCCCCGGCGGCCTCGGGACCGTTCTCCTCAGATGGCAGTGCCGGCAGCAGCGTCACTACCCACTCGGGAGCCGGCCAACCCTCGGCACCCGCTCTGGCTTCAGTCCAGACTCTCCGCTCTTTCCTGTGAGCTGGGAGCCGGTCCCTCACCTCTGCTCACCTTCCACTCCGTTCCCCATGCCCAGCGCTAGAGAAATCCTTGTGGACGCGGCTCTGGTGATAATAGCCTCTCGAGAGGGAACACACTTGACAGTTTGAACCCATTTCACAGACTGTCCTGGGTGATCATCCCCAGACCCTGGCAGGCACCTCCCTCCGACCGCGGCTTCCACCCCCTCCACCGCCACTCACTCCCACTTGGGAAACCTGCCTTTGCACCTACTCCGTATGTATGGGCCTCTCCAGGGCAATCCGCCCAAGTTCATTTCCCTTTCCCAACAGCAGCCCACGGGCTGGCATTTCAGCCAGTCCATCAGTGTGCCACCCACAACCCACAGCCCTACATCAATCCAACCACCAGCTCTGCCGCCAGGAGTGGCCACACGAATTTGCTCCAAAACAGTGATTCCCAACCCCACACTGGGCAACTTCCTGCCCGTTCTCGCTGCTAAATCCTGTGGGTGTTTTCTGGTCCTAGCCTTCCATGGTGCCCCAGCAGATCCCATGCTGCCTGCCACTGGCCAACACCCAACTATCCCTTGAACCCCAGAACTCTTCTTCCAACGGCAAATCCGTCTCCAGCAAAGTGTCTGCAGGCACCCGAAACTCTCCTATCTCCAACTGAACTATGCTCCCTACCCCCGACCCCAAGACATCTGCGTTCATGTTCCCCACCTTGAGGGGATTCTCTGCCTCCTGCCTCTCCCCTGCTTCTTTTCGATTCTCCCAAAGTGACTCCCAAAGCCAGCCCATCCTCACCATCCTCTTTCCAGGACCTCACTCTGCCTTCTCTGGACCTTTCTGCCCTCTCCTTATAGGACTCCCCGCCTCTACCCTTCCCTTACCCCAGTCCCTCATCCTCTAGACCAATCAGCCCTTCTAAGACTAGGTGGGAGTCTGATCACCGCCACACTCTGCAGGGCCCCTTCACCCCCACCAGAATGAAGCCCATACACAAGGCCCTTCACAATCTGGTCCCAACTTTCCCAGCCTAGGGCCTTCCCTAACCCAACCCCAACCCCAACCCCAACACAGCCTTCACTTGGGCGATGCCCACCTGCCAGACCCCCCTGCATTTTAACACTGGCAGCCCTTAGCCGCTGCCCCCCAGCCCACCCTACTTGCCGGGTGAGCTCTAAGTCCTCCATGCAGCCACCTCGCAGCCCTCGCCTTGTCCTTTGAAAACACAGCTGCACCTGCTCTTCTCCCATCAGGATGGACCTGTTTCCACATCATCTGCATCAAACTCTGAGTTCCTTGAGAGCAAGGTCTGTGGCTTATTTCTGTTTGCATCCCTGACCCCTAGCGCCATGCCTGGCCCATAGCAGGCGTTCAGTAAATGTCAAGTGAAGGGACAAAGGGATGAAGGCAGTCCCTTTGACACAGGAGGCCCTGCGGACGCAGAGGCTGGAATTGCTCCCCCTGCTGGGCTGGAATGGCCTGCTTGGTGACTCCCTCCTCCAAAGCCACAGCCCGCTTCAGCCACAGCGTAATACTGAATGGAGACCCAGAGATGCCTTGCGTGGCCCCCCGCAACCTACGTGCTCTCTCTCACATCAGCTGGTTCTGAGAAAGCCAACACGTGCCAGGCAGTCAGGATTCAGAGGCACGGGGCTCCCTGGCCGTGGCCATCAACAGGGCTCCCGAAGGCAATCCCTGGAGCTGGGCCTTGGGGCAGCACGATGTGATCGCCCCGAGGCACAGGGTGGTCAGTGCCACTTCGACTGGCCGATGCTCTCAGAGAGACTTGAGAGGCCACTAGGACCACCCGATCAAATATCCTCTCTCCCTGCTAGCTGTAGAAGCAGTGGGGTCGCAATGGTCCCTTCCAGGAAGGCAGAGGTCAGGACACGTACAGAAAGGTCAAGAGGTCAGCCCTGGGAAGCCAGGAGGCGAGCAGGAGCAAATGGGTGGAAGTAACATGGAGCTGGGTTCGGGTCACGGTAATGAACTTGCTCCCCATTACACAGTCTTCTGACGGGGTGAGCGCCCACAGGTGTGCCGTCAGAAGTTCTGTGGAGAGGCTGCAGGGACCTCTGTCCTAGACTAAAGCAGCCTTCTTTCTTTCTGTCCAGCACATTCTTCTTTTTCTCTTTCTTTCTTTTTTGTTTGTTTGTTTGTTTGAGAGAGCGAGAGAGCATGCAAGCAGAGCAGAGGGAGAGAGAGACCCCCAAACAGGTTCTATGCCCAGTGCAGAGCCCGCCATGTGGCTCTATCTTACGACCCCAAGATCACGAAATCAAGAATTTCCCTGAGCTGAAATCAAGAGTTGGACGCTTAACCAACTGGGCCCCCCAGGCTCCCCCGCAACCTAGTACATTCATCTGATATGTAATGAGCACCTGCTTGGTGTCGGGCACACTGGGCTCACTGGGACCTGGCCAGTGCTTAGAGACCCAGACCAAAATGAGTCTGGTTTGATCACCAAAGTTTAGTGATCTCACCCACTACTGCGGACAGAATTGTGTCCCTCTCCCCGAATCCGTCTGCCAAAGCGAGCCCTGACCCCTAGTGTATTTGGAGACAGGGCCTTTGGGAGGGAAGGCAGTCACACCCTGATGGCAGCATTAGTGCTGTGACACAAAGAGACGCCAGGGAGCATGTGCGATTGCTTTCTCTCTGCTCTGTGAGGACACAGCGAGAAAGCGGCCAACCACAAGACAGGAAGAGAGCTCGCAGCAGAAACTGACCATGCTGATACCTTGATCTTAGACATCTAGCCTTAAGAACTGTGACAAAAGAGATGTCTGTTTTGTAAGCCACCCCATATGTGGCATTTGTCACGGCAGCCCATGCTGACTAAGACAACCCCCTTGGCCATCCAGCTCTATTCTAACAGCTGGACAGCCGTGCTGGCCTCACGGGCTCTGTGTCAGAGGCCGGGCTCTGGAGCAGGCAGGACGCTGACTGTGAGGACTGGTTCGGAGAATCAGCTTTGGGTTCATCGATTTTTCTCAACTGTTTCCAATTTCGTTGATTGATGCTCTTGTCTTTATTATTTCCTTCCTTCTGCTTGCTTTGGGCTCTCCAAAAAACCTAGTTCCTTGCAGCAAACATATCTGCTGGTTCCCATATCCCCATTTATGGGGATAAATACCAGGCCTCACTTACAGGTGAGGAAGTGAGGGTCACAAAGAAGTTAAGCAACTTGCCTGATGTCCTGAAGCTACGGAACGCTGGAGCCAGGACTCAGACCCAGGACTGCTGTGCTTCTGACCACTGGGCGCGCTGCCTGCACCGCCCCACCCCCGGCCACCTAACTCCCAAGCCAGAGCCTTCTCTTCCCCCAGACACCTCCCACAGCAGCCCAGGTCGGCAGCTTCTCCACGGACCTCGTACACACAGTCCTTCCCACCTGCCTTCCCAGGGACCAGCAACCCTCCTCAGGGGCCACAAGCACTTCTCCCCCTTCCCTCGACCAAAAGCAAAGAGCGGGCTGGCCTGGACAGGGATAGAGCCTTCGGAATGGCTTTGGCACTCACCTTGGACTTGGCTGAACTGCAGGTGGTGGAATCTATTGGGGAGAGCGAGAAAGAAAAACGAAAGTTAAATTGGGGCAGGAGGAGGCTGTCTCGTGAACACAACTCCCTCTCCTCGGAGGCTTCAGAAACCGGGGAGTTCAGACACCTGAGATCTCCCCGGGTCCTGGGAGTGTGATGGGCTTCTGATGTCATTTCCTGTGGGGACAGGTATGGAGCGGCTAATGATGTCAATCACCACTTCCCTTTGAGGCAGGAAGTGACATCAGGCTGCCAGACCCTAGACTCTCACTGGCCAGGGTCAGGGGCAAGGGGTGGGAGGGGGGACTTTTCTTTGGGCCTAGTTCCTCTCCCCGCCCCTCCTGTCCCTGTTACTCTGAAGCATTGGAGAGAAAATACCAAATACCAGACGCAATCCACAGAAACCACAATGAAACACGGCAAGTCACAGATGCTCTGGAGAAATGGAGACCACACAGTGCACAGACAGGTGGGACCTACATCTACCTCCACCCACCCCAACTCCAGGACAGGAGGAAGACGGCGGACCCCGTGTGGGATGGGGTACAGGGGCAGGCAGCAGGGGGGCGGGACACAGGAGCTAGAGTGGGCTGGTGCTTAGGGCCTTGCTGGGTTCCAGCTCCAGACTCCAGCTCAGGCTGCTCTGATGAGGCAAGGCCCCTGTTAATTATCAGAGCTACGAAGAAGAGTGAAACTGTTACATCCATGGGTCTTGGGTCCCCCTCCCTTAATATCACTGGGGTAGAGAAGGAATCAGAAACCAGTCCTGGCAGGGTCTTCTCCAGGCTGATCTAAGGACCTTCTGGGGTCTGATGGGGCAGTGGGCAGGCACGGTTAATCCACACTCTCTGGCAAGCAAGTGAGCCCTCCTCCCCAGCCCTCCCCTGCACACAGTGAGAAGAGCAGACGGCCAACCACACAGTGAGACACACGGGGCAGGGGTGCGGCAGCAGGTGATTAGAAGAAACGGGGGGCTCCTCTCTGCCACCCCCACCCACCTTGTCCTCTGGCTCCCTCCTCAGCCTGCCTCTGGGAACTAGGGGTGCTGTGCAATGCCTCTGTCAGAGACAGGAGCCGTCAAAATACAAAGGGGAACTCACCCATGGGGCGGGACAAGTTAGTGCCTTAAGCCAAGGAGGGACTGCTTGGGGCTGCTCTGCTACAAGGCTCAGCGCCCAGAAACAGGACATAGGGGCTGAATGACCAGGGGTTCTGGTTTTAGACACAGGAAGAGCCAGCCCTCGGAGGCAACTGAGGCAGGAGCTGTGGCTATAGAGGGGCTTCTGGGGGGGTGACATCCCCTGTGTCTAGACATGCTGGGTCCCCTTTCCAGCTAAGACTCCCCCTCTGGACAACCCGAGGTAGCCGGGCTCGGCACAGAGAGAAGGCCAGAGCCTGGGGAATGTGGGGGGCAACCTACGGTGCTCAGACTTCCCCGCAAAGGGATAGGATCTGCCTCCAACAAACTCCTCCTTCCTCCTGAGAAGGGGCCTTCAGCCGGGAGGGTTAGGGCGGGGGTAAGCTGTTAACAAGCGTGGGGAGCTGGTATGTCACGTCGATGTGTTCACAGTCTGGGACCTTTCTGCCTGCCCCTCGGGCCTGCCCAGCCTTCTTATAATCACCCGCCACTGTTAGTGACCGAGGCCGCAATGCCACACTGTACCCTTTAAATCTCCAACAGGTCCGCTGGAGGAGGGGAAGGAGAGAAGGGGGGGCAGGGTCCAGGGGCGGGAGGAGAGCACAGGGAGAAGAGAGAAGAGGGTGGAGGGGTGCAAGGAGAAAAGGAAGAAAAATTAAAAAGAGGAACATGCCCGGAAGGACACAGCCCCAGAGAAATAAAAAGCTCAGGAAGGAAACCAGTGAAGGAGGGCGAACAAAGCCCCTACCCAGCCCCGGGGGCAGCTGAGCAGACATGGAGGCGGGCGCACAGGCAAGCCGAACCTCCCTGGAGCGGAGATGGCCCTGCCACAGCCCAGTCTCCGGGGGGCGGGGGCAGGAAAGGGCCCCGCTAGGGCAGAGCAGGGAAGCTGGGCATCTGGCCAGGCATCTGGGACCCTGGAGAATGCAGAGTCCACCCCCGCCCCCTCCTCCCCGAGCCCCTGCACTCACCTGAACCTGGGTCTCCAGGGGGCACTGTCCTGCCAATGTTAGGCAGGAGGTACTCAATGTTGGGCACTGACTGAGGCTCCTTGTCATCCACGGGAGTCTGCAAACAGGAGAAGGGTCAGCCAGCACGCCCTCAGATGGCTGGACTGTGGTCCCGCAACCTGGGGTAACTTGAAGGCGGGGACAGTGACTCCTCCATCAGACTGGGGCTCACCAGGGCAGCAGGTATCTCTCTCATCTGCCAGGCACTCTTGAGGGCAGGTCCTACATGTCCCCCACTAGGCTATTTTGTGCCTTCTCCAACACTTTGATTGAACCCCAAAGGCTGGTGCTGCTCTCTCAGCTGAAGGCAGGAGCCGTGTCTTCCCTGTCAGACTAGACCTTCCTAAGACCTGTATCTTCCACGTAAGATGGGAAGGTAGGGTTTACCTTTGCTATTGGACTCAGTTTCCTTAGGGTAAGGCTTATATCTCCCCCCTCAGACCCGGGGCTCATGAAGGCAGGGACTGTGTCTCCCATTAGATTAGAGGCTCCTGAAGAAAGGGTCGATGTTTCCTCCACCAGACTGGGAAGCCCCAAGGACAGGGACCTTGCCCTGCTTGAGTCTTGCTGTCTGCCCTCTCCTCGCCCCCAGCCTGGGATGAGGGCCCACCTCAGACCAGACCCACCCCTCCCCCCGCATCACTTACTCTCTCTCCCTTGTCCTCATCATCGCTGAAGAACCAGTCTGACTGCAGAGGAGACAAAAGGAAGTGAACTCAATGTGGAAAGGTGCTGAGGGAAGACAGAGACATGGTCCCCCAAACTGCACAGTCCAGAGGACCCCACTGAGATGTCAGATGGAGCAGGGCAAGAGAGGGCACCAAGGTGAGGGTCCCTCCTCTTTTCAACAACCTCATTCTTGCCTGGTTACTAGAAGTCCTCAAGGGAGAGTGATGAACCCCAGGACCCAACTCCACAGACTATGAGAAACCCTGGGGGAGAGAAAAGGCTGGACCCCAGTGTGGGAGGGAAATGCAGCCTGGACTGGGAGGGGGCTGAGATTGATAGAGGGCCGGCTCAAGGAGAGATTTGGGGCCAGCTGTCACTAGACACTGTGCAGGGCACATCACTGCGGCTGGCTCCCAAGTACAGTGGGGGGGCAGAGGCGCCATCTAGTGCCAGCTGGGGCCACTGCAGGGAGAAGGTCAGTCATGGCTGCCAGGGCTGTGTACCTCTCCCCAACCCTGGGCACCACACTGCCCTGGGGCGGCATCCCCTCCTCCCGCCAGGAAAGAGAAGTGTCTGGAGGGACGTGTTAGGAGGTTCCCTGAGGGGCAGGCAGGCAAGTGTTTTCGCATAAATGCCAAACAACATAGACAATAAACTAAAAATCCCACTCTTAAATATATATTTTGTGAAATTTGAGAATCTTGAAGATGAAACCTTAAAAGTTTTCTGAAAAACAAAATAGACTGCTTGCAAATGAGCAAGTGTCAGCTGTAAACTAGAACTTTTGGCTGCAGCAGACCCAAGAAGACAATATTTTCACTGTATCACTGGACTATGAATGTAGGAATTTGGAACCTAGATTTTTATACCCTGCTAAACTCTCACTTTGAGCATGAACTACAGCTATTCTAAGACATCAAAATGATTACCACACAAAGACTCTCTTAATTGTGTACATGAGCACGTAAAGAAATGACTCCAGGTTGGAGCAACAAGCTCTGAGAAGGATGGATAGTAGCATAGAAAAGCCCATTGTCGGGGTGCCTGGGTGGCTCAGTGGATTAAGACTCTGCCTTCGGCTCAGGTCATGATCTCAGGGTCCTGGGATCGAGCCCCGCATCGGGCTCTCTGCTCAGCAGAGAGCCTGCTTCCTCCTCTCTCTCTCTTTCTCTGCCTGCCTCTCTGCCTACTTATGATCTCTCTCTGTCAAATAAATAAATAAAATCTTAAAAAAAAAAAAGAAAGAAAGAAAAGCCCATTGTCGATCCAAGAAAGGACACTCATGCACATATACAAACAAAGTATCTCCAGGATGCGATGGATTTTGGACACAGAGGGAGAAACCAGTGACAGGGGAGAGTACACAAAGGTACTTGGTTTTTAGATGTGGTGGAAGGAAGACAATAGATATTGATGAGCTTTAGAAATGGGTCAGTGAAAAGGAAACATAAGTATGGGCTGTTATAATTGTGTGATCAAACACAGGACGGGCTTTATAAATTGCATAATTTTCCCATCAGGAAAATAAAAATCAATTCATCCAAAGCAAGGTAGGACAGACTGAAGAGAAATAAAATGAAAATGGGATAAACAGAAAATGACACTTAAGATAGCTGAGCTAAGCCCTAACAGTAACAGAAATTAGAATCAAGCAAAGGAGCTAAACTCACTGGCTGGAAATTAAAACACGCAGAATATTTGGGGTTCCTGGCTGGCTCAGTTGGTAGAGCGTGCAACTCTTGATCTTGGGGTTGTGAGTTCAAGCCCCATATTGGGCAGAGAGATTACTTAAAAAAAAAAAAAATACTGTTTAGGGAGTCTGAGTGACTCAGTAGGTTAAGCCTCTGCCTTGGGTTCAGGTCATGATCTCAGGGTCCTGGGATGGAGCTCTGCATTGGGATGGAGCTCTGCTCAGCAAGAAGCCTGCTTCTCCCTCTCCCACTACCCCTGCTTGTATTCCTTCTTTCACTGTCTCTCTTCCTATCAAATAAATAAATAAAGTCTTTTTAAAAATACTGTTGGTTTAAAAATAAATAAAATAAGCATAAAGAAGTGGTTTGGAAGGACACATATTAACCTATTAGAGTGGGTCACTATGGGGCAGCAGAGTGGGTGAGAATGAAGGGGAGAACAAGGAGACTTGCAGATTGATAATGACCGTGTGCCATGGACCTCAGTTATTCATCGAAATCAGGCGTATTATTAACCCAAATAAGTGGCACAGAAGAGAAATAAGAAAGAGAAGAGAAAATAAGAAATCAGGCAAGATCTAGGGGAGCCTGAGTAGCTCAGTCTGTTAAGCATTAACCTGCCTTCAGCTCAGGTCCTGGGATCAAGCCCTGCATTGGGCTCCCTCCTCAATGGAGAGTCTGCTTCTCTCTCTCCCTCTGCCCCTCCCCCTCACACATGTGCGCACACAAACATGTTCTCTGTCTCTCAAATAAATAAATCAATAAAATCTTTAAAAAGAATAACACAAAATCTAAAATCAGTTGTCTCAGGCTCAAGTTCACCTCAGGTAAATGACCTCTCTGAGTCTATTTCCTTATCTGCAAAATGGGCATAATAGGACTATCTACTTCTACAATTGTGGTGAGAATTAACATGAAATCCCATATGCCTACTATAAAAAAAAAAACAAAACTAGAAATACCAACTGTTGGCAAGGACGTGGTCGGAGAGGGAACCCTCACACTGGTGGGAATGTAAAATGGTGCAGCCACTCTGGAAACCAGTATGGAGGTTCCTCAAAAAGTTAAAAATAGAACTGCCCTATGATCCAGGAATTCCACTTCTGGGTATTTATCCGAAGGGGAAAAAAAAACAAAACACCAACAAGAAAAGATACCTGCACCCTGACGTTCGCTGCAGCTCATTATTACAATAGCCAAGATATGGAATTGACCTAAGTGTCTATGGGTGGAAAAATGGATAAAGAAGATGTGGTATGCCTATAAAATGGAATACTCCTCAGCCATAAAAAGAAGGAAATCTTGCCCTTTGTGACCACAAGGGGCAGACCTCAAGGGCACTACACTAAATTAAATAAGTCAGACCGAGAAAGTCAAACACTTTAATCTAAAACAAACAGTGGAATCTAAAACAAACAGACACACAAAATCCAAGCTCAGAGGCAGAAAGAACAGGTCGGTGGTTGCCAGGAGTTGGCAGGGGGAGGACCGAGGAGGTGAAGGGGGTCAAAAGGTACAAACTTCCAATTACAAAATAGATAAGTCATGGGGATGTAACAGAGCATGATGACTATAGTTGATATCACCGTCTTGTCTATTTGGAAGTTACTAAGAGAATAAATCTTAGACGTTCTCATCACAAGGGATGCCTGGGTGGCTCAGTCTGTGAAGTGTCTGACTCTTGATTTCTGCTCAGGTCATGAGCCCGGTGTCCTGGAATCAAGCCCCACGTCAGGCCCTGTGCTCAGCGGGGAGTCTGCTTGAGATTCTCTCTCCCTCTCCCTCTGCCCCGCCCCCCGCTCTCTCTCGCTTTCTCCCTCTAAAATAAATAAATAAATCTTTTAAAAAAATTCTCATCACAAGAAAAACAACTGTAACTACGCATGGCGATGGGTGGTAACTAGACTTAACAGTGCTGATCATTTCACAATATATACAAATGTCAAATCATTATGTTGTACGCCTGAAGCTAATATAATAGCACATGTCAATTATAACTCCATTAAAAGTAAATATCTTGAGAGAGAGAGAGAGAGCATGCATGCACATGGGTTGTGAGTAGGAGAGGGACTGGGCAGAGGGACAGGGAGGGAGAGAATGTCAAGCAGATTCCGCACCCAGTGTGCAGCCCAATGTCGCGCTCCATCACGACCCTGAGATCATGACCTGAGCCGAAATCAAGAGTTGGACATTCACCCAAGCAACCCTGTCCATTTAATTTTTTAAGATTGTATTTATTTATTTGACAGAGAGAGAGAGAGCGCACAAGCAGGGGGAGAGGCACAAGAGGGAGAGGGAGAAACAGACTCCTCGCTGAGATCATGACCTGAGCCGAAGGCAGACGCTTAACTGACTGAGCCACCCAGGCGGTCCCCCATTCCAATTTTTTAAAAATAATGAAACACTGTACATAAAGCGCTCAGTACAACATACTATTAGTGTATAATAGACATTAGCTGAAATTACAAAAAGGTGCGGTCCCCAGGGATGGGCTGAGTAGAAGGAGCCCTGAGAAGCCAGCGTTTGTGGGTGCCCGAAAGTGCCGTGGGAACCCAGAGGTATGGAGGAGGCTTCCAGGCAGCCCAGAGTTCTCTGGAAGAATGCCCACCAGCTGGTGCACACCCAGTTCCCTCTGCCTGCCATGCGTTCTCCTGTCCCTGCCTGGCTAAATTCCTTGAGGCCATTGAAGACACTGCAGGGAGCCCCCGCCATGGTCCCAGCCCCATACCTGGGGCAGGGTCCAGTCCTCCCATGGGGCTTCCCTGGCCATAGTCCAGAAAACGAATATCATCTTCCCTGGGCAACGCTCCTTTGGAGCAGGGCCTGGCTTCCATCCCCTTGGTCCCAGCAGGCATGCCGGGCTCAGGCGTGGAGTAATACCCGTGAGGTCAAGCATGGCAATCTTGAACCCACACACCAAGTCCTAGCTGCTAGGGGGCATCCGGGGTCTTTACAGCTATTAACTCATGGAAGCCTCCCGACTACTTCGTGAGGTAAGCACGACCACTCTCTCTGCTCTGCAGACGAAAGTCAGTCACTCGTTCAAGGTCGCACAGCAGGCAAGGAGCAGAGGCAGAGGCAAACTCGGCTGGCTGGCCCCAGAACCAGAGCCCTCCGGCCCTGCCTCTCAGCCAGGGTGAGTTGGGCCCCTGGTCCCCCAGGGGACATGTGGCAAACATAGACATTTGCATTTGTCACAACCAGACGGGTGCTCCTGGCATCTAGCCAGAGATGTTGCTAACCATCCTCCAACGCACAGGACAGCCCCCCACAAAGAATGATCTGGTTCCTAAGGTCACTAGTGCAGAGGTGAGAGCTAGTGTGCAGGAGGGATCATCACATTTGTTGGGTGAATCAAGGAACAAATGCTTCGACATTGTCTTTGTTTGGGTTTCAGGTGGCTTTGTGAACATGGTCGTGGGTTGGCTGGTGACTTGCCACTGGGAAGGTGACCCCCTGGGTCTGCACACCTCCACTCCACCACGATCATGCTGTGTGACCCCGGGCATGTCAGTGCCTCTCTCCGCACCCATTTCTGCCCGCTGTGCCACACAAGGATGGGGCTTGGTGCCTTCCAGCCCCTTCCAGTGCTGCTGTCCAAGAGTTTCACGGGGGACAGGAGCCCCCAGTAGGGAGGCCAGGTGACAGCTGCGGCCGGAAACCCAGCAGGAGGTCATGTCTCCCGCGACGTTCAACCACCCACTGACTGGCCACAGGCTCAGGGCCAGAGCTGGAGTGCTCCCTGCCGAAGTCCCATCCGGCCTGCACTCATAACTACGCTGGCTCTGGACCAGAGAGACACCGGAAAACTTGGCTGGGTAGACTCCAGGGGACTCAGGGTTGGGGAGGGGAGCTCATTCCCTTGACAACTGTCCAGGCTGATTATGTCCAAGTGCCAAGGAGGCAGAGAACGGAGAGGCCCCAGTTCCAGGACGGCCCGGGAACAAATCCCTGAGTGCAAAAGTCCAGAAGGGTAGGACCTCAAAAGCAACCCATTTGTTCATTCGCTCAACAAACCCTGAGTGTTTACTATGTTGCCAGGCATGAGGCTGAACGCTGGGAGGATGACTGCGAAGGAGACAGATGTGTTCCTCCTCCGGCCACCCTGCCCAAAGGAGGGGCTGCCATTGACTGGGGGACCCCCTCTTGGGGGTGTAGGGGAGGTAAATGGACACACTTTGGGCCTCCTTTCTCCCAGAGAGTGCTATTCCTGGCACCCCAACTGACCACAGGCCTTGGGCTTCCGGGGGCTTCCCTAGGAACCGTGGGGCCAGTCTCCCTCTCTTCCGCACTGACCCTGGCCCAAAGCACACACTCACGGGGGCTCCAGGGGCTACCTGTTGGGCTGGGGAGCTGAACTTTTCCAAGGGAGATAAGCTGCCCCAGACTGAGGCCACATGAGGATCCCTGCCCTGCCCCTCAGCCCTGGCTTCCCTCACAGCTCTGGAGCGGGCTCCCGGGCTGGTGTCCCAGTGTTCGCCTGAGAACGGGCTTCCATGTTCCCTCCTAAGGCTCAGAGCCCTGACCACCCAGTAAAGAAAGGAAATAAACAGGCAGGGCCAGTCAGCAGGACCAAAGTCTACCGCCCCACCTCACTTGTCCAGCCAAGTCAGCTCTAGGATGAACCCAGGAGTCTGACCCCCCAGTAGGGGCAGAGGGAAGCACAAACCTTGGTCACACAAAGCTGGCCTACAGTCCTGGGGCTGTCATTTATTAGCTGTGTGGCTTTGAGCAAGTCATTTTGCCTCTCTGAGCACCAGCTTCCTCATCTGTAAGATGGAAGTAGCATGACCTGGTTTCTCTTCCCTAAAGCATCTGTGACATTGCAGAGGCCAAGGACCCCGTTGCCCTGGCCAGCTGCCAATCTTATTTCTCCTGGCAGGAGGGGGTCTGCTCCATCTACCGGCAGTAGGGAAATTTAAAAATGCAAAATCTGTAATTGATTAAAAAAAAAAATCCCGGAATGCCCCAGAAGGGGGCGGTGCTGTTCTGGGTTTGGCTCTGGAGGACCAAGACCTCCTGCACCCCCTGCTGGCTGTTCTATGTTCTGGTCCCATCAAAGACCGTTAACCAGAATCCTTAGAGATGGGGGCTGGGGTGCCTCCAGGCAGCCATGAGAAAGGAGGAGACCAGCCCAAAACATAGGGGAGCACAAGCCCAGGATCTGGCCTCACCCCTTGCTCTGCCCTGCCCCATTCCCCTCCCTTCTGCTGGGCATCACCCTTTGCTCCCTGAAGCTGCAGTGGGGCCGGCAAAGCAGAGCTCTGCCCCCACCCCCTACACTTGTCCACCTGTCTGCCTGTCTCTGCCAGGACAACTCTCCTGAAGGCCACCTTCCGAAGGTGCCCCTGCACTCACCCAGTGGCTCTCCAACCCAGCAGCATCTTCCCTGACCTTCCTCTGCCCTCCGACCCTCACATGCATCTTAGAAGCTCAGGGACGAAACATCCTTGAAAGAAGGATTCTAGGCTCCATTCCTGTTTGGTCTGGAAACGCAGCCCATCGCTTCTGAAGGGCATTTGCCATCCCAGGAGCACTTGCTTAGGCTGCCCGTCCTTCCCCCAAGGTGCACGGGATCGAGATGGCTGCTTACGTGCTGGATCAGCGTCTCCACGATCTTATAGCGGTCCGGCATGTGGGTCACCATGTCCGCCATGTTGTCCTCAGACGTCCTCACCAGCGTTGGCCCGAAGACCAGGGCCAGGTTCCTGGGCTCCATCTGGGCAGGGGAAGAGAGCAGGTCTGTGTTCACACCCCCCTGAGCTCTGACCTCCAGTCCCCCAGGCATCCCTCACTGTGGGCCCCTCACTCCCAAGGCCCAAACACATCCTGGGCTATGCCTGGCTTAGGGGATAGACTCCTCCTTGTTGGGCATGGAGATGCCTGGTAAGTAGAGCACAGGCCAGATTTCAGCCTTACTCATCCTAGGCCTGGCAGCCCAGGGCAGTGCCCAACCTGTTCACCCACATTGTGCTAACAGAGAGAGATCCCGGAATAGGGGCCTGCTGGAGGTTCTAAGGGTATTTTATTTTATTTTATTTTATTTTTTTAAAGATTTTATCCATTTATTCGAGAGAGAGACAGTGAGAGAGAGCATGAGTGAGGAGAAGGTCAGAGAGAGAAGCAGACTCCCCGCGTAGCCGGGAGCCCGATGCGGGGCTTGATCCCAGGACTCCAGGATCATGACCTGAGCCGAAGGCAGTCGTCCAACCAACCGAGCCACCCAGGCGTCCCTCTAAGGGTATTTTAAAACTGGGAGAGTTCCTATATCTCCATTCATTCTCCCTGCTGCAGAACCAGAAGATATAGAGGCTTGATTATAAAGATGCAATGCGGGGCGCCTGGCTGGCTCAGTCTGTAGAGCGTGTGACTCATGATCCCGGGGTTGTGAGCTCGAGCCCCACATTGGGTGTAGAGATTACTTAAAATAAAGTCTTTTAAAAAAAAAAGAAAGAAAGAAAGAAAAGGAAAATGCAATGCAATGCATGCAAAATGCAATGCAAGGGATTCGAGCTAGATCCAAGGACTGATTTCCATCAGACACAGCGGGACTGTGGCTCTCTGACTCTGGGAGACCCTCAGAAACTCAGGAGATGGTTCTCCCGGGGAGAACCCCAGAGGGGTGGGGTGGGGACAAAATGCCCTTTAAGGAGGAGGGCATGCCCAGAGGGCTTTGGGATTATCTGACCCGGAGGAGCTTAGAGTATGCTGAGAGGACCCTCTATGTTTCCTTCCCCCACATTTCGTGCCAGTGTCCCCCCACCTTGTTTTTCTCCGAGTGGTCAGCAATGGTCTTCAGATGCCCCACGAGGAATTTGAGTGTTTCATAGTAGTGTCCTGGGAGATCCCGGATCTGGGTGAAAGCAAGAAGGGACACGGGGCTGTGAGACCACCCCATCTTCCATCATACCCCACAAGGGTTCCCACTGCCGTATCTCGGGGGTCTAGAAACCACCCTCTAACCACCCCTGTTGGAGAGATGGAGAAACTGAGGCCCAGAGGGGAGAAGGGCCTCTCCAAGGTCACAGAAGGAACTGGCAGCACTGGACTCTGGGCCTCGCAGGGCAGTGGTGCTCCCCTAGCCTAGTCCGCCCTTTGCCTAAGGGTGTCCCTGCCCCCTTACCAGCTTCCGGAGCCTCTTCAGCCGCTCTCTTGAGTCTTCGATGCGATTGGCCTCGATGAAGTCGTTGTATTTGTCTAGAACACAGTGAAGACTCTTTAGAGAGGCAGGAGGCAGTCCCTTTTCCCACTCTCAGGGGGTGCTGCTTCCAAGCTGAGGAGGCCCAGACTGTTTCAGTTTGGGGGGAGCTCTGTGGCCTCATGTCCACGTGACCAAATCCACGACAGCGACACTCAGGCGTGCACCTGACCTGGGCTAGCCCAGGTGTGTGTGTTTGGGAAGCAATAAGACCCGAGCTGCATGTTGATACTGGAAGAGGGGTCCTTGCCCCAGCGTCTGGGACAAAGACACCACAAGGTCAGAAGAAAAGGTTACCTAGAAAGAGGGAGGGCCCTTTCAGCCTCCAGACGCCCACCCCGCCTGGGTCAAGAGGTCCCCAGAAGAAGCCCAAGGGGAGCTTTAAAAAAATGGAACATGGTAAGTTTATTCTAAAATCCATCTGATGAGTAAATGCATAAGGATAGCTGAGGATAACTTGTAAAGGAAAAATGACGAGGGGGGACGTACCCTCTGAGATACTGAAACGTACTTAAAACCCAGCACTGCTTAGAGCCGTGTGGGACTCACAGGGAGAGCTGACCAAGGATGAGGACACAGAGAGGAGGAGAAGAGGCCTCGTGGATGTTTACTACGTGACAAAAGCAGTATTTCAAATCAGTGGGGGAAGAAGGGAGGTATCAATAAACATCCCCAGGACAATGAGTTATCTTGTTGGAAGAACAAAAATCGACTTCCAGCTCACATAGTATGCAAACAAATTTAACTGCATTCAGAGCCAAATGTAAAAGTCATTAAAATATTGAGAAAAAAAAACAAGAAAATGTCTCCACAATTGTGAAGCCTTCCTAAACATGAGATGTAGAATCTGTTAAAGACCAACAGCTTTGACTACACTTAAAATAATTGTTTCCAATTCCTTACAATGCAAAGTTAATAGGCAAATGACAGACCAGGAGCAAACATCTGCAAAGCCTAACAAAGGGTTAATACAGAACTTGTGTCCTACAAATCAGTACCAGAAAAAGACAACCCAACAGGAAAATGGGCGCACGGTCTAAACAGGAAATGAGAAGAAAGAGAAAAGTCCAATAAACTAATGAAAAGATAGTGGATTTCTCTAGTAATGAAAGAAACGAAAATGAAAACAGTAATGAGATGACATTTCTCTTCCAATTAACAAAAATGTAAACTATTGATAACATCCAGGGTTGATGGGGGTGCGTGGAGGCAAATTCTCTCCTAAGCTGTTGGCAAGAGTGTGAAGTAGGGCTATCTTCTCAGAGAACAACTTGACATTAGCTTCCAAAAATGCTAACCAGGACTTTGACCTAGAAATCCTACGTCTAGGAATCTACCTTGAGGACACCGATCCAGGTGTGCAGGGACACATTTCAGGAAAGTCTTTGCAACCATTTTTGTAAGAGCAAAAATCTGAATGCAACCTAAATATCCATCCCTAGGGGAGTGATTAGGCAAATTATAATCTATTCAGACTATGAACAACTATGTGGTTGATTTAAAAGAAGAATGAGGTAGAGGTCTTTGTACAGACACGAATGAATTGCAAAATTAGAAGCCTCCTTTTGTTTTGGTATTTTTTTAAAAAGATTTTACTTATTTATTTGACAGAGAAAGATCACAAGTAGGCAGAGAGGCAGGCAGAGAGAGAGAGGGAAGCAGGCTGCCTGCCAAGCAGAGAGCCCGATGTGGGGCTCGATCCCAGGACCCTGAGATCATGACCTGAGCCAAAGGCAGAGGCTTAACCCACTGAGCCACCCAGGCGCCCCTGAAGCCTCCTTTTGTTAAGGACAGCAGCCTATCAGGAACTTAAAATAAGCCACGGTGGGAAGATTTGTACTCTGGTGACTGAAAAAACACTAAGAATCAAGGCTTTTTCCCCTGGAGAGCCAGGTGTTCCATATTTGTCAATGCACCAGCAAACTCACTCAGCTCCCAACCCTATCACTGCATGTATGTCTCCGTCGTGTGTGTAAGACAGTCTGGGAGGAAACACGACAGACCCGACAGACCATCAATAAGCAGCTCAGCAAACGGTTGAGAGCCTGGGCTCTGGAGTGTGCCTGGGGCCGGATGCTGGCTCTGACATGTACAACCTGTGTGACCTTGGGCAAATCTCTTCCTCTTCGTTTCCTCATCTGTCCAGTGGAGATAATGGTACCTGGTGGAGTTGTTGGAAGGAGCTGGGCTTGGCCCCCAGCCAGTCCTCAGAAAGTGCTAGGATAACCTCTGGGGACAGGGACCTTGGAGGTTTCTTTACTTGTATCTATACCAAGACTGTGACAAGCATGTGTTTCTCTTGCATGAAAACAAAAACCCGAAGAGTGAAACCAACAAATCCAACTGAAAAAGCGATTGGAGTGCAGCACGGATAGGCGTCCCTCCTCCTTCCATCTTCCCAACGCCACCTGCTACTCACCGTCGGTGAAAAGAGGCTCGGGCAGCTTCCGGAAGAAGGACTTGAGCAGGCTGCTGATCACATTGAGGTCTTGCCAGCGCTGGGGAGAGGGCAAAGACGTCAGGCCCCAGGCAGGCCCAGTGGGGCGCCCATGCCTCCATGCTAGTCCAGCCCCAGAGTCCAGCCCAGCCCAGCCCAGCCCAGCCCAGGCCATCCCTGGGGTACACTTGCAGCTCCACCCAGACCAGAGATCTCGGGCTAAGAAGACTCATTGGGGGGGTGGTGGCGGAACAGTCCCCAGCTGGGTCCTGGCCCCTTGACCGACCGCCCCAGCCCCTCCCTGCTCCAGTAAGCCCAGCAGGCTCCAACATTTGCCTACCCGTAGAAAGTACCAGCTACCTTCTTTGGTGCCACCACTGTGGGACAGAAGTGAGCAAAACCTCCTTGGTGATTGGACCTCTTTGGGCCTACTAGCATACCCTCTTGCCTCCCAGGGCTCCCCATTTAGCAGAAAGTCATTCTTGGACACCCCACCCCCTTATCCATGACATAGCAGTTGCTCTTGCCTGGCACCTTCCTGTCTCAGGCCTTTTGTACTTGATGATTCCCTCCACTAGAACTTTCCTCCCTGCCTTCACAGTCCTGGCTCCTCACCCTGCCCAAATGTCACCGCCTCTGGAAGGCCTTCCCTGACAGCTAACACAGCCACCACTGCCACCACCCTGTCACTTGTGCAGCAGCCCTTTGTTTCCTCCATGACACTTCCTACACTTTGTCACTGCTGTGTGCATTCGTCTCTTTGTCCCTGCCTATCTGCCTGATGGGACTGCAGCGTCACGAGGAGCAGGGATCCTGTCTGTCCTGTCCCCCACTGTGTTCCTGCCACGCGGTGAGCTCAATCAGCCCAAGCACTTCAATGGTCTAAGACAGTAGTTCTCCCCAGCAGCAGAAATCACGCCCCCGGGACATTTGGTGATACTCTAGAATCACTTTGGTTTCCGCGAGTGGGGGAGAGGGGTTGCCACTGGCATCCAGCGGATAGAGTCCGGGGTGCTCTTAAACTTTCTGTGATGCCCATGACAACGTCCCGCGACCAAGAACTATTCTGCTGGAAGTGTCAAGATTGAGAAACCCTGTTCTAAAGAAATAGGTTGTCAAACGCAAGAAAGAAGCATGGCTGGGTCTTTGGGCCTTCGACCACCAGGGGGCACCACTGCCCTGCGTAAGTCAAGGGTACCAGCCTTACCAGGAACTACTCAGAGTAACTCTGGCCCAGAAAACAAGGTGAGGCTCTCCACAAAGACACCCAGCTCCACAATATGCACGCTCTGCACAATGGGTCCACAGCTTAATGCCACACCATCCCACAAACAGTACCTCCCCTCAGGCTCAGGAGGAGTTACAGGTACCCTGACCACAACACTTCCCCTCCAGAGCACCTGGGTGGCTTAGTCGTTAAGCATCTGCCTTCAGCTCAGGTCATGATCCCAGGGTCCTAGGATTGAGTCCCACATCGGGCTCCTTGCTCAGCAGGGAGTCTGTTGCTCCCTCAACCCCTCTCCTCTGTTCATGCCTTCCCTTTCTCTCTCTCTCTAATAAATAAATAAGGTCTTTTTTAAAAATTTTAAAAACAGAAAACAAAATCAAACACTTAACTTTCAGCAGTCCCACAACAAAGGACAAGACTGATGTCTGAGACAAAACCACCCACACCCAACACACTCCGGGCCCTGCCTTGGGCTGGCTGCCCGCCAGCTCTGGCCATGCCTCTCCCGGGCTAAGGCCCAGCAAATGTGCTTCAGTGCATACACGCCCCTACCCAGTGCGGCTTCTGCCTACCTGCCCTGTCACCTTCTATCCCTGAGGCAGGGCTCTTCTCATCTCCCAGCTGCCAAACCCACGGCTTCGGGACCCCTCCAACGTGCATGTATCCGCCCCTCAGCCCCGGCCTCACTGGCACCCTCTCCTCTGAACCATGTGGAGCCTAGCCCTTCCCTCCTACCGCCCACCTCTGCCCATCCAGCAGCTCCCTCCATCATCCAGCTTTGCGCCCAACCACACCCATTCTCTAGTCAACTCTTGGCCATCACCCCAAATCTGGGGGGCCCCACCCTGACTCCTCCTCCTTCTCTGGCCCTACTCCCCAGTTTCTGCCAGAGACATACCATCAGCCCCCAGCTCGAATGTTGGCTCTTCCCTGCACCCCCTTCCTCCCTCCCATGTGGCCAATTCCTAGAGCTGCTCCCATCCTCCCTATTCCCCTGGGACCACCGTGTCCTCCTGGCCCCTGGCACTTCGCATATATCAGCAACTTCTCCTGTAGATGTCCTGCTCTGGGCCTCCCTCATTCATATCCATCAGGCATAAGCTAGAGCAGACCCCACTTTTGGCTCCCTGTTGTCCACCGAATCAAGGACAAAGGATTCACTGGAGCCATCAAAAGCCCTCTGCCTCCTGCCCTGCGCCTCACCCTCCCCACTGCCAAGTCCAGGAAGGAGGAAGGAGGTGAGTCCATTCTCTCCCAACACCCAGGCCCTTCTCTGGGGTTTTGGAAAATGTCATCATTCCCAGCCAGGATGGCCTTCTGGTCCACCTGCCCCCTTCACTTTCATCCTTTAAAGATTCCAACACTCAAGTTTCCTGCCTGCTCCAGCCCTCAGCGTCTTCTCCTTCTTCATCACACAATCTGGTCCCTGGTGAGATCAGCCTTTTCTCTTGCCTCCTATCCCACATGGCATGTCTCCCCATTTCCTCCCCAAGGGCAGGAAGACTGTCCCGTATCACAAAAAACTTCACAATATGGGACTCATGGGACTTCACTGCCCAGATCCGTGGTCTTCCCAAACATCTATCTCAGCAGAGCCCCTCTTGTCAAACATGAAAACCCAATATGAAAAAAACGGACATTAAAAAACAGAACAAAGCAGATTACTCTAGTTCAAGCCAGGATGGGGGCTCCTGACCTGCTCCCTGCCCCCCAGAGCTCCTCTGGGGAACACAATTTGAGAAACACTGGCCCTGCTGCAAATACTTTTGTTATTTTTCTTGTTCACACTGGAATACATTTCTGGCTTTTTTCCAGCTTCACTGAGCTGTAACTGACCTATAACTTATAGGGAGCCCTTAAGTCAGGTTGTAAGATTCCTTCCCCTGCTGCCTCTGTCTCCCCTGACCAGCCCTCCACCTCCCCGAAGTGCTGGTTGCTCCAGAAAATACCACATGCTCCCCCTCTCCACCAGGGGTCTGCAGACCACAGCCCAGGGCTCCAGTCCAGCCTGCGGCCTGGTTTGTATGGCCCTGAAGCTAAGAAGGGCTTTTCCATGTTTAAAGGGCTGTGAAGAAAGAGGAGGAGGAGGAGGAAGAGACTGAGTGGTAACCAACACCTAGAGCGTTTGCCACCTGGCCCTTTACAGAGAAGGTGAGTTGGCCGCTGGCGACCTCTCAGAGCCCACACCTTTGCCCCAGCCGTTCCCCCAGCCTGGGATGGCCCTACCTGGCTTTCACTGGCATTTAGTGATCGCTATTCATCCTCAAAGTCCCAGAAAGGATTGCCGTCAAGGGCTTCCTGTCCGTGACTGGGTCTATCTATCCAGCTTTGGCCAGGGTGGTGCCCATCCCCAGGACTAGCCTGCCAAGGCAGGTCCCGCCTCACCTGTCTCGGGGCCCTGGCCTACTGCCAGGCACATCACAGGGTCCAACAAACACCAGAGAGACACACACACACCGCCTTGCCCCCCTCCTCCGGTGCCCACCTCATCCTGCAGGTTGATGTCGCCGGGCCCACGGTTGAGCTGTTCCTGCAAGCTGGACACCACCGCATTGTTGCCTGGTACCCGGTAAATGCCTGTGGACTCCAGCCCCCGTGCCTCCACAATGCGACAGCATGCGGCCACGATCAGGGGGACCCGCTGGAGACACAGGCAGGGCAAGCATGTTAAGAAGGCCAAGGGTAGAACTCCCCACCAGTGGGCTGGAAGAGGTGGGAAGGCCAAGGCGGGAGCAGAGCAAGGCCAGAGCTGCTGCTGAGAGCCCTGTGCAGGGTAGGAGAGTGGGGGGACATAGGCCCTCACAGCCTCCAGTCCTCTCCAGTCTAGGGGTTAAACAGAACACCAGAGCCTCGCCGAGGTGTGCCGAGGAGCACCAGCTGCGAGCCTGGGGATTCTGGGCTCTGCCTTAGCTCTGCTGTCTCCTCCCTGGACACCTCCCCAGCCTTCCAACCGCTGTGTCTGTGAGATGGAGAGCTGGTTCGCACCTCCCTCAGCTCTGGCCCTAGGTACCCTGGGCTCCCCCATTCGCTGCTCTCTCTAGAGTGTGGTGGAGACTCACCTGGTTCTCTATGGCCGGCTGGCATTCCTCTAGCCGGACCCCAAATGCCCTAGGGGCTGCCTTCTTGTTCTTCTTGATGATGTTGATGCCCCAGGGGGTTTTGGGAGGGGCGGCACTGTCATCTGGGGTGGGGGAAGGCAGACAAAGCCAGGGTGAGCTGGGGGTCTGGGGAGGGGCAGAAACCACACATGGTCACACACACTCACCCATGTTTGGACATAGGGGGACTCCATCAGAGAAGCAACTGGAATGCTGAGGGCTGATGGGAAATTATATCCTGAGAGAAAGCCTAAGAGATGAGGGTGTGTTTTCCTGAGGACACAGGCCTCAGAGTACTGTAAGGATTTCTATGTGGTCTCCAGGGTTAAAACAACAAGGTAGGAGCCATAGATTCTGGTACAGCCAAAGAAAGAACTTCCTCACAGCCTAAAGTGTATAAGGATGGAAAAGGATGCTTCCAGAGAAGATGGGCCTCCTGCTCCTGAAGGGACACAAGCAGACACTTGGAGGCTACCCAGCTGGGATGTCATGGAAGGAAATCAGGTTCCAGGCCCTTCCAACCCTGAGACTCTGAAAGCCCCCAGACCCTCCCAGGCACATACCCACAGGTACGCACATAGCCCAACACACACACACAAACACACACACACAGACACAAGCCCACAGCTCCCACGCACACACAGGGCTGACCCCCACCGTCCCACATGCACGCAAGCACATCACGCCCTCAGCAGCCACCTTCCTACCCTTGCTCCCTGCAGGCTGGTCCTGAGTCCTGAGGCCACGTGCAGTACTCTGTTTGAGGAACTCAGACTTGAGGCCCCCCAGGCCACGAGAGATTTTGGGGGAGGAATCAGCTTTGGGCCCAGAGCTATGGCTGTGTAGGAAAAGGGGGAAAGGAGAAGTCTTCATCTGGGGTGCCCTGACATGCCACGTGCCCTGGCCTCCTGCTGCTCCAGACCCCCTCCCCAGCCCTGAAGCAATGGCCTCAAGGCCCCCAGCATCTTGTGTGCCCCCAGCAAAGGGGGACTCGAGGGCTGCCCTCGGGCCTAGCGGTAGGCCGGGAGGATGGCCTCTGTCCCAAGTGCCCCTGCCCCCAGCCAGTACTGCCTAGGAGAGCCGGGCCTCACCTTACTTTGCGATAATCATTAAGCTTCTTGCTGATCAGAGCTTGGTTGGCACAGCCGGGGTCCTGGAGGAGAGCAAAGAAAAAGTAGACCCCATCAGTGTCCACAGCCGGCCGACTCCGGTCTCATTCCTGGCCCCCTGCCTCCACTTTGCCTCCCCTCTCTCCTCCACCTGCCAGCTGGAGGGCTCACACCCTAGAGCGAGAAAGAGTGGAGCTGGACTCCCAAGCACCCCCTCACCAGCTGTGTGACCTAGAGTAACCCACTAGCCTCTCTGAGCCTCAGTCTCTTCCATAGCAGCGGAAGAGATAATAGGGCAACCTCAGGGCTGGGGTACAGAATAATGCAGGTGGCACTGATAGCATTCCTGGCAAGGCACAGAGAAGGTGCCCCATGACAGCAGCTACTGCAATAAGGAAGGTCACTTGGGACCCCTTGGCTAGGCCCTGCTGGGGGACAGCCCGGCCAGGCTCCCCCAGAGCAGGGGCCATAAGTTCCAAGGACTTGCCTCCCTACAGTTAGGAAAGGTAATGTTCTGAGGAGAGCAGAGCCTGGTTCAGCAAGAAGACGGGTCTCCCCTCAGGGAGAGCGGGTCTGTGGGCCAGGGGCTCTGTACTAGGGCGTCTCTCCCCATGGCCCGAGCAGGAGCACACACGGCCCAGGGCCCAGGCCCTCCATCCTCAGGCAATGAGCAGCCTGAGCTCAGACCCCCCATGTCACTTTGTGCCAGTGTGCTGGGGCACCGGGGTGTGGGCACCTGGCCAAGAGGGCGAGGGGGCGCCGACACCCCGGCCCAGGCTCCTAGTGTGTGGCCGCAGCCACCCAGGAAGGGGCACCATTTTAAAATTACCCAGAAATGCAGGCCAAAGCCCTTTGGCTCAACCAGTACAGCCTGCTGCCAAAGGCCAATCCCCTTGGCCTCCTCCCAAGGTCAATGTGTTCATACCCTGCTGACAGGCTAGCCCTGTCAGCAGTGCCAGCCGCTGGCCCAGGGGCACCTCCTTCTGTAATATCCTCCAGAAGAAACCCCTGCCTCCTGAACCCCCACCAGAGGTTGGCCTGGAGCTGACCTCTCTGTGCCAGAGCCCGCCCAAGGCGGTAATAATAATTAATAATGATAATAATAATAATAATAATTAGTGTCAGTCCTCCAGTTATTATGGTTCCTGCCAGCCAGGGAACCCGGAGGATGCCAGGTGCTCTGGGAGCCGCCGTCTGCATGATCTGTTCACACCAAAGCCTGGGTGGGTGTGGAGCTGCCAGGTGTGCTCCTGTTAGCCCACTTCATGGACTAGGAAACTGAGACTCAGAGAGTTTAACGAGGTACACTGGCAGGTGAGGGGCGGCCCTGGGCGCCCCCGCCTTCTTGCCATCCCTGGCCTAGGATGGGCGGCCGGGCCCTCACCTCGCCCTCGGCCCTGCTGTTCTCTCGGATCGCTCTGATCCAGCCCAGCATGTCATCCCGGTCCTCAGCCTGAAAGAGATATTCACAGAAGTCAGCGGTGGTCAGCCGGAACACGTGCCTCCTCTTGGTCTCGCTGTAGGAGATGTCCACCAGGCAGGAGCCGATGCAGACGGGCGCCGCCTCGTCCTCACCTGCGACGGCCGCCGCCGCCCCCGCCGCCGCCGGCCCGGGCTCCCGCCGCTCCTTGCTCAGCGAGAGGGAGCGCGCCCGCAGCGCGGCGTACACCCGCTTCCACTGGCGCAGGCCACCGCCCGCTTTCTGCAGGGAGAGACAGGGAGAGGGGGAGGGGGAGAGACGGAAGGGGGGAGGGTGTGAGAGGCCCGGCCAGCCCGCCCCGCTCCCAAAGCCCAAGGAAGAGGGGCCAGGAAGAGGGTCCCAGAGGAGAGCTGCCGGCAGCCACAGAGGTGGTGTCCCAGCCCCCCGCACACCCCCCTCCTGCCCAGCCCCTTCCCTGCCCGGACAGCCCCACCCATCATTTTCGGTGCAACCCCCACCTCCAGAGGGTCCCCAACCTTCCTTTCTTTTTTTTTTTTTTTTAATTTTCCCAACCTTCCTTTCAATACTAGCATCATTCAACAGTAGCATCAGGGGCATCGGGCCCCCCACAGTGCCCCACAGAAGCCGGCCGCCCAGCGGGGTCCACCTTAGGTAAAATCCTTGTAAACCTTTCTTAGTTCACACACTGCCCCTGCACAGCCAAACAGGTCAAGAGTCATCCATGGGCACCTGCTCTCCCTGCTCTTCCGCCTCTGGCTCAAGGCTCTACTCAGTATCCTGGCCGCCTGGGCCCCCCTGTGTTGCTGAAGCCAGTGGCAGCTTCTCTGTCCTCCTCGGCACTTTCCTTAACCCCTCTGAGACATGTGGCCTGGCCTGCTGCTCCTTCCTTCTCTAAACCCTCTCTTGTCATCCGGGACCCCATCAGTGCCCACTGCCAGCCAACTCAGGTCTCATCCCTGGCCCCTGCCTCTGCTTCGCCCAGGGTACCAGTTTTTCCTCCCAATTCCAATGACTCCTTCTCGGTCTCCTCCACTGGTTTCCTTCCCCCCAACATCCTCTCACCAACGGTTCTTGACAGGGGCAAATGGTGCCCAGGGGACATCTGTCTGGAGACATTTTCAGTTGTCACACCTGGGGAAGTCCTATGACATCCAGTGGTGAGAGGCCAAGGACACTGCTGATCACCCCCCCCACCGATGTCCAAGATAGCCCCCCACAACTAAGAATCATCCGACCCCCATGTCGCCAGAGTTGAGGCTGAGAGCCTACCCTAAAGGGGGGGGGGCTCCGGAACTTTCTCCTGGGTTCCCCTGCCCCTGCACGCCTTTCCCATGATGTCATCCATGCCTGTGGCTTTAAATCCTGTCTGTCTGCTGATGGTGATTCCCAAATTCCCAAATGTATCCCTGGTCTGGCATCCCTCCTCCCCCTGCCACAGCCTTGCACCTCCCTGCTCAGTGTCCCCACTTGCTGCCCCTAGGTGCTCTGCATACTACCTGCTCCCCATGGGCCACTTGCTTTTTGTCATCAAACTTACTCTCCATAGCACCCCTCCCCCAACTTCTCCAGCTCAGTAAATCCACCCAGATGCCCAGAAACCTGGGAGTTGCCCTTGACCCCTCCCTTTTCCTCACCCTTGACATCCAATCTATCAGAAGGGCACAGATGCTCTGCTTCCGAAATACCACCTGTCTCCATCTTCCCTGCTACCTACACCACCTTGTCCACACCACCAACCCCTCTTACCTGCACAACTACACAAACCTTCCTAGTCCCCACCCTTGCCTCCTATAATCCACTCTCCAACCAACGTGGGGCTTGAACCCATGACGCTCAGACCAAGAGTTACACACTTGACTACCTGAGCCAGACAGGAGCCCCTGCAGCTGTCATTTTTTTAAGATTTTATTTACTTATTTGAGAGAGAGAATGAGAGAACATGAGAGCGGGGATGGTTGGAGGGAGAAGCAGACTCCCCACTGAGCAGGGAGCCCAACACGGGGCTCCATCCCAGGACCCCAAAATCATGACCTGAGCCAAAGGCAGATGCTTAACCAAAGGAGGCCCCCAGGCGTCCCTGCAGCCACCATTCGGAAATGCGAATGAGATCCCGCCTCTCCCCTGCTCAGCACCCTATCCTGGGCTCCTGCCACCCACTGCAATCAAATCTAAGAACTTCCGTGATGTGTCCCTCCCTCTCCGACCTCGACTTCTCCACCGGCTTCTTTCCCACTGTGTCAGGACACAGGGGCCTTCTCTAGTGAACAGGCCAAACGCTTCCTTTCTAGGGGCCCTTGATCACGCTGTTCCTTCTGCCTGGAGCCTCTTTTCTCGCTTCTCTGTGTGGCCTCCCTCTTGCCCATTAGGTCTGAACTCAAATGTCACGCATATCACCTCCTCCGCGAGGCCTTCACAGACCCTGTTTTTCTAAAGGCTGCTCCCTGTTACCTGCAAACATAAAAGCCATCACGTGACCCAGTTCATTTTCCCGGGGTGCTTACTGCAACTTCCCATTACGCCGGATGTGGATCTCTCCAATAAGTGGTAAGCTCCTGGGGGCGGGGAGCTTGTCTCTCCTCTCCCGTCCACATCCAAGAGCCTAGAGCGCCCACAGGTGCAGGGTAAGAGCTCCTCAAAATTCACTGAATAAACGAATTAATCGTCCTCGGAGCACGCTGACAGCAGGGGCTCCGTCTCCCCCCATTGGACTGAGGGCTCCTCCCTTCCTTGGGCTGCTGGTCTGCCCACCCCTCTTCACCCACCACGGGCCCCTGCCCTCCGAACAAACCAGGTGAGGAGTTTCCACGGCAGTAATACAGCCCCATCTGGCCACGAGCCCTGCCCACCACCACAGAGCTGCTGGTCCCAGACAGGATCGTCGGAGCAGGAGACGGCATGGCCCTCCAGGGGATTTTTTTTTTTTTTTTTAACATCAGAGTGAGGTGGTGGCAAGGGGCCCCTTTGAGACCAAACAAGGTGGGTGACCTTGGACAAGTCAAGTCCCCTCTCTTGGCATCAGGGTTCCCTATTGGTAAAATGAAAAGTGTACTAGCGGGTCTCCAAGGTTATGTCCAGCTCATGTGCTAGGTCTGTGTCTGCAGGGACTAACAGCCGGCTGGCCATCGGTTCCCCAGACTAATGGCCTGCAGCAGACTTGAAGACCCCTCCCCTAACTCCCAGGTCACAGCAGCAAGGGGACAAGGGAAACAGGTCCTGGCTGAGCCAGGAGTGGAAGGCCCTGTCCTCTAGAACTGATCAGTGAGCAGGAAGGGGCCCGCTCCCCTCCCTGCCCGGGAGACACTGTGCCGGGCCTGCCAGGGGCCATCCAGAGCTAGGGGCCAGGCTACCTGGCGGCCAGGAGTCAGTCGTTCTCCCCAGGCCCTCCGAGGGGCTCCAACTTTGGGCTGGAAGGGTTTGTCCACCCTGGCTCCCCTTGTCAGCCCACGCAGCCGGTCCCTGCTTCCCTCCTAGGCAACCCCTCACCAAACCCACCCCTCTAGGGCCCTGGGGCTCAGGAGAGGGCCCCATCACCCCCATAGCCATCAGCTGCCTCCTCTATCCTCTCTCACCTCTTGGCCATCAGCAAGCCCAGGCCATCCCTTCTGCAACCTCTCCAAATTGTCCCTCCCCGTCGGCCCCATGCCAGGACCTTGGTCAGGGCCCCCACTCTCGCTCACCTGGACAACAGCAAAGCCATTGTCTTCTCCTGTAGCGGGCATGACCCTTACCTCCTAGGCTCACATACCTCCCACCCCCATTGGAACCCCTGCAAAGGCTTGCCATGGTGTGGGTGAGGTCCTGCGAGCAGGCGCCAGACTCCCCACCTCGACTTCCCCCTCTCAGCCTGGCTCGCAGCCACCTAGCACACCCTCCGCTCTGCTCCCCTGCCACCGACCATCCAGGAGAGTGTCTCCACTGTCCAAGCACTCCCCTCCCTCCCTGCTTTGTGGATTCTCACATACCCTTCACGTCACAGCCTCCTGGACACCTTCCTGCAGCCCTCCAAGACTGGGGTCACCTACTACACGCCACTCCGCTCCACTCCTCCCCTCTAACAGTCACACACTGGCAACTATTATGCACCATGTGCTTTCTCGGCTCATCCTCAGCCCCAGCAGGGCAGGACCGGCCTGGCCCCCTCTCCATGAAATACCCAGAACCTTGACCGCAAATCAGGAGCTTACTGTGAACTCCGTCATTACCACGGACTGGACAAGGGCAGTGCTGAATGCCTGCCCCTCCTGGCCTACCCGGCTCACTTCCCCTCACACCAGCCCAGGGTGCAGAATAACCCAGAATGTCCCTATCTTACAGATTGGAAAAGTGAGGCACAGAGGTTACAGGGGCTGCCCAAAGCCAGATGCTGGCCATGAGTGGCCGGGCAGGAACTCCAAGTCTGTATGACTTCCCCAGGTACAAGACCCCTAGAAGGCAGGATGGAAAATTCCAACCACAGCAGAAGACGAGCTCCCTGGGCCAGGGCCCGGGTACACTTTTGCTCAGGTTAACTCGTTTAATCCTCGGCAATGGGGGTGTGTGTGCTAGGGATTGTTTTTAGCTCTATTTACAGATGAGGAAACTGAGTCATAGACAGCTGAGTCATCCCAGCTGCCCCCAGCAAGGCATGATGCTGTCAAGGGCCAAGCCCAGCTTTATGCTAACCACTCTGCTCACTTCTGCCTGGGCTGTGTCTCCTCCTTCCTCCTCCGCCACAACCCGCCTGGAATGGCCTTCCCACCCCGCGGACCCAGGGGCCCCGCCCTCTCACATCAGGATCCTGTTTGTCTCCCCCTGCCACCCTTGGGCCCAGCCTTGTTCATCGCTCACCTGGATTGCTGCAGTGGTTCTTACATGCTCTTCTTGCCTCGGCTCGGCCTCTCTCTAATTCGTTACCCTCCCCAGGAAGCCAAATCAAAGGGGCCCCGGAGCTTTCAGTGGCCCTCAGGATAGAGACTAAAATCGCTCCTTGTCCTGCAAGACCCCTGAAAAGGCTGACTTCTGCCTTCTTTGAGGGCCTCAGCTCCCCTAAGAGAATCGCCCTGGCCTTGCTCCCTTCCTTTCCCTGAGCCCCCGTGTCCATCTTTGGGGTGGTCCGCTAACCAAGGCTCGCTGTGGGATGGTTCCGTCCGAATTTCAGGCATGCTGACCAGACCCCTTGCACCACAGAGCCCATCTCTCTGATTAACCTCCTTTCCATGAGTTCTTTAGGTCCCCCAGGAAGTTCTTCCTGACCTCTAATCTCCACCCCTCACGCTACAGACTTGACTGGCCCTCTCTGGCTCCAGAGGCTGTGGGGTGGGTACAGAAGCTGGAGAGTTCTGCCGGAGACAGCTTCCGTCCACCTCCATCTCATCCCAGCAAGCACCTTACCTTCCCCTTCTTGGTGAGGACCTGCTTATAATACAACCAGCCTTCTCTCCTGATGTCGCTGAAGGTGACGTCCGAGAGGTCAGAGGTCGAGTGGCGCTTGGAAGGAGCATCTGCATCTTCCGAAGTGCCCCAGCTATCCAAGGACTGCAGCAAGACAACGGAGGGCAACTTAGGGGGGCTCCCACGGTGCCAGCATGCCAGGAGCCCCATGGGCCTGGTGCAGCCCTGCAGGCTGCTGTCTGTGTGGCCTCAGGGGCCTTGCTTGCCCTCTCTGGTCCACTGCACTGAGGTCATGGGACGCATGCGCTGAGGAAGCCAGAAAGGAGGAAAGGCCATGACCTGCTGACCCCATGCCTCCCCACGCTAGAAAAGCCAATCTGGAGCCTCCCGTCATTTTATAGACTCGAAGAAACTAAGGAAATAGAGGAAGTGATTGTGTCGACATGGAGTTAAATAAACAGGAAGTAGAAACATCAACAGAGGCTGAGTTCACGGAGCAGGTAGTCATGTCCACAAGGAGTTAAACAGAGGAAGTGATAGTGTCAACATGATTCCAGCAACAGAAGTGACAGGTCAAGGGAGAGTTAAGTAAGCAGAGGAAGTGATAAGGAGTAAACCAGGTGACAATGGCCTCAAGGTGTCAAATGAACGGAAGATCCCAGATCCCGAGGGTTTGAAATCAAATGGCTCTTCCAGTCTGTCCCTAATCACAAAGAGGGAGGGCCATCTCAGAACTGAGCCCCAGCTCATCCCCAGGTGCGGAGCCTGGGAACTCCAGCCTGCCCTTTGTTCTCAATCCTGGGTCCCCCTCCTTGCCCATGTCCCCTGTCCACTGAAGATGCCGCACACATAATGCCCGATGCCACCCGGTACAGGCAGCTTTAGGTCCCCACAGGGAGCAAGGAGGCCAAGTGAGATCCCTGTCCTCGCAGAGCTTACATTCTAGCTGGGACCCAGGCAAGAAAGGGGACGGATGCATAAACCGTGTCACCTGAGGACGGCTGAGGAGAAAAACCTAGGAGCTGGAGGGAGGCATGACATGACAGGGATGAAGGCTAAACCCTCAGAAAAGCTCGGAAAAACCTGAAGAAAGTAACCAAGTGAGTCATGGGGCTATGGAGGGGAGTGTGTGGAAAGGGTGTTCCAGACGGGGGAGTTGCAAGGGCCACGGCCTCACGTGGGAGGGCATGGGTGTCTCTAAGTGATGACGGACGCCACACCAGGGGCATCAGGCCCAGATGGGGAAGGGGAGAAGGGAGCTGGAGGAGACCATGTCTGGTCACTGGGCTCTGCGGCTGAGGCAGCAGTCACTCCCCAGCCCCCCGGCGCTGTCGCCCGCGCGTGCCCTCACCACTCACCCCATCAGTGAAGAAGCTTCGCAGCATCCGCAGGCTGGGGACTCGGTTTGGCAGGCGCCTGCGTGTGAGAACGGAGTGTGAGGGATGTGGGGGGCACAGCTAGGACATTCCCCCCTAAATCCAAAGGCTCTGGAGCCTTCCAGGGAGGAAGCTCATCACCCTGGTGTGTAGGGGACCCCCAGAAGGGGTGGCGGTGCTGACTCCCAGGTGGGATGGCCGCAGCCCGTCCTTACCTCAGAGCCCTGCTCTCCTCCCGGAAGGTGTTGAGCCCGTCGTCGCAGGACTTGGAGCGCTCTGTGGTGATGGCGAGCAGGTAGGAGGAGCGGCGGCCGGCCTTGATGCTGCCTGCAAAGCCGCCCACGGTGGGCCACAGGGTCAGCAGGATGGTGGGGTGGGGGGCTCCCATAGCCCTCCCGTCTGGGCTGGGCCAGGAGGCGACTCTGCCCAGGGGAACCCGGGGGTAGCAGAAGTCAGCAGGAAGATGCCAGACATGAGGTAGCGGTAGCCTAGCAGAGACCCCGCCCCCCGCCCCAAGGACCAGATAGCGAGGGAGAGGACGGGGCTGGGGTTCAGGGAGCACTCACTGCAGTCCTGGGAGTAATGGCGGCCAAGGGCAAAGGTGAAGGTTGGGGAGGAGGGGCTGGTGCCCAGGACAGGGGCTGAATTCATGGCGCTGGAGACCACGGCGGAGGCGGGGACATGCTTGGCTTGGAGGTCAATGCTGGGGCTGGTGGGTTCATCTGCAAGCAGAGGGAGTGGTGGGTAAAGGTGGCTCAAAGCTGAACCTGCCCGCCCCATCCGAGCTTCACCTCCAGGCCCAGCCCACATCCCCAGTGCTCCAGCCCTCCAAGGCCCTGCTAGCAATATGCCCGTGGCCAAGGGCTCCCCCCACACCCCCAGACTGTGAGCTCAGCCCCTGCCTCCCAGGTGGGGTGGTTCTTTACATTGAGGTGTGACCCAGGCCGGAGACTGAGCCACCCTCCCTAGAATGGGCTCCTAGACTAGGAGTCTCTTAAGGATAAAGATGGTCTCCCTTCATCAGTTGGAGGCTCCTTGAAGACAGGTGCTATGTTTCTCCCTCAGATTGGGAGTAGTTTGAAAATAAAGGCTTTACCTCTTGCCCCAGACCAGGAACTTTACTAAGGCTGTGTCTGCCTGCTCAGACCAAAGGCCAGCCAGGGCTAGGTCTCCTCTCCCTCTTCTCCCTCACTCCCGTGAGCTCACACAGCATGAGCTCAGCACTCTCAGCTCCAGGGACCATCTCTCCGCTCCTGGCTCCCAGTCTCATGATCTTGCGTCTGGTCTTTCTCTCAAGCCCCTAGATCCAACCCATCCTGCATCCTCCTGGACAATAGAGTGGTTCCAGCCCCACTTTCATTCCCGATATGGAGGTGAGGCACAACCCTCTAGCGAGGCCAGAAACCTGGGAATCAGCTGGCCTCTCCACTCTTGCCTCTCCCTTATCCAACATCTGTTCCCCAGGCAGCAAACCTTCAGCGTCCCCTCTGCTCTAAGGATAAAATCCAAATTCCCCAGGGACTGACATGACCCTTCTGGCCCTGTTCTGATGACCTGGAAGGGCACCCGGCCTCTCTCACTTCAGGGTCTTGGCACAGTCTATTCTCGCCCAGAACGTTCCCCCCTGACTAACTCCTTCTCATCCTTCAAGTCTCAGCCCTAATCTCCTTTCTCCAAGATTCTCTCCTTGGCGACCACGCCCCAATCTAGGCCATGGCGCTCTTCTCTGTCTCCTAGAGCTCGCTATACTCCCATCACACACACACACACACACACACACACACACACACACACACACACTCCATGGGGTTGTTCTTGTCCCATCATCTGATCACCTGTCCCTGCCATGGGACCATACACTCCAGGAGAGCACGGAACCTCGCACAGTGCCTGACAGAAGTATTTGTTGGATGGAGGGTGGATGGAAGGAATGAAGAGTGAAAGGAACAAAGGAAGGGTAGAATAAAGAAAGGATGGAGGGATGGAAGGGAGAAATGAATGAACAAACAAAGGGAGGGAGGAGAAAGGGAGCAGGAAAGAAGCAAACTGATGAATGGGTGGGCGAGCTGGTGGGTGGGTAGGTGGGCAGACAAAAGGGAGGGAGAGAGAGAAGGAAGGAAAGACAGGAGGAAGTAAAAACAGAGAGCTAAAGAGAAGGGGGGAGAAGGAAGAATGGGAGGGAGGGAGGAAAGATGGCTGGAGGATAAATGAACAGAAAAAAGGATGACAGAAGGATTCAAGAGAGCACAGAAGGATGTATAGATGGACAGACAGAGAAACAGACTGGTCCCATCAGCACTCAACCCAGAGTTCTGCCCATGATGACAGGTGGGTGGGGTACAGCCCGGCACAGACAACCAAGTCTCCCAAGACAGCCACCTGCACCATCACTCACCAATGAAGGGAATGGAAGCCAGAGAATCTTCAGTGGTGGCCAAAGGGGCCACCTTCCTGCCCAGGCGTTCTACTCGCCCACTGGTCTCTGGCTCTGGGGACTCTTCACCAAACCCAAGGTTCATCTGTCTTGCAGGGGGCAGCTGGACCTTGCGGCCTGTGGGAGGCTTCTGCCTCAGGATCACCTCGTCGCGACGATCCTCGGTGGGAGGCTCCAGGGCCCGGGTGCTGGGCTCTGGGCGGACAACCCTGGGCGGTTCAGAGGCCTCTGGTGGGAACGATGCTGGGGACTGAGCCAAGCTGAAGGTGGGCAGCCCCCCAAAGGGTGAGTCCCGGAAAGACAGTGCGTGCAGGAGGCCAGTCCGGCGCTGGAATGATGGACTGTAGCTCCGGTATCCAATGTACCCGATGTCGTCCAGGCCTTGGAGGCCAGGCGGGGGCTGGGCCTGGGGCGCAGGAAGGTCCCTGGAGGAGCAGGCAGAGGTGCGGGCCGACGGACGCTGGGACGCCCAGCCACAGCGCTCAAAACGGGGTGACACCAGTGCTCCTGGCCCCAGTGCCTCGGCGGAGCGGGTGGCCCGGCTCAGGTAGTCATCAGAGCGAGCCCGGTGCCAGCCTTCCTGACCCAGCTGGCTCAAGGCACCCTGGGAGGTGGAGCAGGGCCATGGGCGGTGGGCAGTCACATCCTCCAACCGGTCCTGGGAGGCACTGCGGGCCCGGGGGGGCATGGCAGGGCACCGTCTCTCCCCCGCCCTGCGGGGTACCTGGTTTGACAGCCAGTGTGACAAGGCCTGCTGGCATTCCAGTCTGCTGGGGGGCACCCGGCCGCCAGGCTCGGGGAAGGCACGGGGCGTCCGGGGCTCCGAGGGGAGGCGGGGGAAGGCACCAGGGCTGGGGCGGGGCTGGCTCATCCCCAAGGAAGGGTTGTCCAGATGGGTGCGGGTGGCAGAAGGGACACGGGGCCCCGGGTCACTCCAGGCAGCAGGACTCCGGGGGTCACTGGGCGGCGCTGAGAGGGGCTCAGGCACCATAGTGGCCCAGGCGGCGACCCGGGCTGGCGGGGCGTAAGTCTTGCGATGGTAGCAGATGGGGGGCGGCTCTGGGATGCTCCGGGCCTCTCCGGAATACGGCTCGTTCCCCTTCAGATAGGCATCCTGGGAGTAGGCCTGGCAGGGGACACAGAGGCAGGTGAACAGGGTGGGACGAGTCCCACAGGGCAGAACTATAGTAGCTCTGGGAGGTCAGGACCCCAGAGAAGGGGACTGAGGGAAAGGACGAAGCCCTGAGTGGGTGGGAGAGGGAGGGCATGCTCCAAAGAGAGTTGGGGGAAGGGAGGGAGAGAACAAAGAAATTAGAGGCCTTTGAGAGTCTCTCACACACATACACACACACAGAGTCTCTCTCTCTCTCTCACTGGAGAAATAGCCAGGATTTCTCTAAGACTTATGACAAGGACTGCCTTTAGCCACAAACATTCCAACATCTGTTTTCTGGGGTCCTCCCCCCATGCTGGCCTCAGCCGCCTCCCTGCTTCCTTACATCCAACAGTGCCCACGGTCCCTCTGTGGCAGAGCTGGAAAACCCCATCAGAGACCAGCCAAGGTGGCCGGAGACAAGAGGGAAACCGACTAAGGGGTGTGTCCACAGTGGGGTGGGCTGGGGATGGGCGGGGGCTGGGAAAGCCCGGCTGTCCCTCCATCACCTGGACAGGGAGCTGGGGCCTGGCTCCTGGGCCAGAGGAGTGAGGAGAAACTTGCCCACCTCTTGCTCACTCTGGGCCAGGCTTGGGGGAGGGGCCAGACTGCCAAAGGGGCCTTGGGCCACCTTCTGCCACCCCAGGCCTGGAATCTGGCACTGGGAGCTGAGGCTGACGCTGCATTGCTGAGGAGGGACAGGGCCCGTGCCCAGGCCCAGCCAAAAAAGGAGGCAGCCCAAAGGGACAGCGGCCTTGTGGCCCTGGCCTAGCCTGGCTCTTGATGGGTGCGGGGAGGCGGGGGCGGGGGGGGGGGGGCGATGTGGAGGGGGCTATCGCGGGGTGAAGTATCAAAGGCTGGGAGGGTGAAACACACAGACACACACACGGGCGCCCGCGTGCGTGTGCCACACCACAAGGAGATACCGGAAAATACACACCCAAAGACACACACACAGAGCGAAACACAATGAGACACAGACACAACAAATAACTCTATCTCCGGTCCCAGGCACACACATCATGTGATGAGGACAAGTTAGACCACACACCCCCCATACACACTCAGCCCCCTTCAGACCCACACACCCAGCCAGGGGCACTCACGTACCTCTCCCTCCTGCCATCCTGCCGGCTCCCCGGGCTCCCCGCATCAGGGCGGTGGCGGCAGCATCTCGGCCAGCCTCCGCCCTCCCCCCTGCTCAGGGCTAACCCCCACCGACCTCGGCGTCAGCCCAGCCTCCGTTCCCCCCCACCCCCAGTCTGCCCTCCCTGCGGCCACCCTCAGCCCCCACTGGCTCTCTCTCTCTCTCTCTCTCTCCCCGGCCGGCGGGAGGAGGAGGAGGGAGGGGAAGATGGGTGTGGAGGGGCCTCGCTGCGTCGGCGGTGGCGTCAGCAGCTGCCGCGGCCCCATTGGCCTCCAGCCTTGGCTCCCAACCACAGGAATGCCTGGGCCCCACCCTCTGGCTGGCCTAGGATGGGGTGGGGGGCCGGCAGAGGGCCCCAGATGCTGACATCTGGGGCTGCCTGCCGGCCTGAACTCAAACTTCTCGCTAACACAGCTCAAGGCGGCCCCTCTCCCCACCCCAGCCCTCCTCTGCCCTGGCAGGGAGAGATCCTGGGGAGCCCTAGATCCTGCCCTGTCACTCCCGCAGGGCTCACCCTGGGGCAAGTGTACCCGCAGGGCCTTTGAGACTTGGGAGCCATCCACCTCTCTGGGCTTCCAGACTTACCTCCCCCTACCCAGGAAGGACAGGGGACAATCCAGGTCAGAGGGTGGAGGTTCCCAGAGGGGCATGGTGCCAAGTATGGCACTATGATTACAGGGATTATGTGAGCACATCCAGGGCTGAGGCCAGCCTGGCGGCTCCCAGGGCCTTCTGGGTTTGGCCCTCGGCCTTCCCCCAGGGGGCAGTGACCTTGGGGGCAAGCAAGCTGGCATCTGGCTTAGGCCCATGAGATCAGGAAACTGGACACTGGGCAGAGAGGACTGGCCTGGGCTCTGGGCCAGGACTGGGGTCAGGGTGCCCAGAGAGATGGCCTGTGTGTGTGTGTGTGTGTGTGTGTGTGTGTGTGTGTGTGTGCAGACAGGGACACACATTAGTGCAGGGTACCCTGCATGAAGTCTGGGCGCCTGCTCTGTGTGTGGCAGCCCAGGGCCGGGTTCCGGGTGTTGCTGAAGTGCTCAGGGGGAGGGCACTTGGCCTGTGCACCCCGAGAGTGTCAGTTTGGGTGACAGGGCTGGCAAACCAGGCTTGAACAGGCTGTGGTGTCTGTGGGCACACGTGCAGTGACCCTGGCAAGCCTCTGTGATGTCAGAGAGTGTGCATGTGGTGGTAAGTTGGGGTACACATGCTGTGACACCCCGAAGTGTGTTGTGCTGGTGTGACGTTTGTGTCCCGGGAGGCTTGAGGAGGTGTGGGGTTGTGGCCATGGGTGTGGCGCCGCACGGGCCTGGGGCGGTGTGTGACTGCGCATGGGGAGCGGGATGAAGGGTGGGCACCGTGGTGTTTGTGTTGTGTGGCTGTGTATCTAGCGTATTGTGTGTGTGCATTGAGTGGTGTGTGGCGTGTTGTGTGAACAGCAGCACTCAAAGGTGGAGTGGGGTGTGTGTGGTGTGTGTGTGTGTGCGTGTGTGTGGGGACACAGCTATAGGAGACAAGTTCACACGGGGCCAGGCAGGGAAGGGGTGTGGAGAACAGGCTCCTGGGAGCCGATGAGAACGTGCCAGTCTGGCAGGGCCTGCTGGGCCACCCTCCTTTCAGATACCCTGGCAGGAATCTAGCCTGCCAAGGCCAGCGCCCCCCCTCCCCCAGCACAGACAGCAGCCCTGAATGAAGCAACAACCAGCCCCAGCCCCGGGATGGGCCTGGCAGCCCTGATTGGGCAATGCCAGGCTGGGGCTGCCCCCGAAACTCTAATCTGCCTCCCTAAAGGTCCAATGCACAAGGGAGGCCCAAGGAGAAGGGACATATTGTGCCCCCAGGCCCCAGGGGCCCTCCACCTCAGACAGCAGGACTGGACTCACCAGCTGGAGGATGTCCTCATCCTTGGGCATGATGGAGAGCTCCAGAGTATCATCGCTACAGAGACAGGGCAGGGGGTCAGGCCAGGCGGAGGCAACAGGGTCTGGGAGAACAGGGATCCTGGTCGCCAGGACACCCCCCCCACCCCCTGGGGTGGGGTGGTCAAGGCGGTGGGATGCAGGGACTCCCGTAGCGGGCTGGGAGCTATTACAGGAGAAGGGAGGCAGGGGGCGCTCACCTATTCTGGATCAGAGCTATGACCTGGGAGTAGGTCTTCCCAATGACGCTCTCCCCGTTCACCTTCACCAGCCGGTCTCCTGGAGAAGAGGGGCAGGGTCTCAGTGTGAGACCAAGGGGGGGGCCTGGATCTGAGAATCCCATCCTGACTGGAGGGTAGGGAGAAGAGGCCCAGGGAAGTATAAGAAACTGGGAAATCCAGACAGCTCACCTGTGCGCAGGCCCGCTCTGTGGGCAGGGCCGTCATCCTTCACATTCTTGACAAAGATGGTATCCATGGGCTCCAGGCGGTGGTGCCGGGAGGAGGGTCCTGGTGGGCATCAGCCAGGTTAGCTGGGGGGGGAGCTGCTGCAGGTCACACCCATGCGCAGCTACACACACAAGGGACACACATTCAGAAGGATCACACCCACACGGACACAGATGTGGACCTGTACGTTCACAGAGATGGGGATGCACGGGTGGGTGGTGGGGGGAGACCAGAGGACACACCCCTGGGAGAACAAAAACCCACATGGAGGAAAACCTACATGGACACACAGGGTCACTCCTTAAATGCCCCTCGCGCCCCAGCACTGTGCCAGAAAGCAGACTAATAAGGACGGACAGATGGACAGACAGACGTGGGCCTTGCCCTCCTGGAGCTCCCTGGCCAGCGGGGCAGAACGTCCACACCCACAGACCCATGGACAGCCGCAGAACAGCCCTGTAGCTCAGACACGCAATGCCCACACCTCCCTCGTACCCCTTCCCCAGGGCAGCACTCTAAGCAGAGCCCTCCAGCTCCCGAGATGGACGCTCACCCCCTCTGGACAACACATTACACCCCAGCAATTATCCTCTGCTGCTGTCTCCATCAGAGGAATGGGTCTGTTCTAGGTCAGCTGGCTCTTGCCCTCATCCCTACGGGCCTCCGCAATGGGGACTCAGGGAGACTTTGTCACCATGGCTGCCCCACAGAAGCCCCAGTGGCAGAGAAAGAAAGATGCCTGTCTTGAATTCCTTGGGTGGCGGAACGGGGCCCTTGGGACTAGCAAGGGTGACAGCTAGGGGAGTCAGGCCCACATTGGAAAAGATAAAGACCTTAGGGGTCCCCTTACATCCAACAGAAGCCCAGTGTCTTTACCCCTGAGGACAGCCATTGGTCAGCTGCACCTACCGCCGGCCCCTGGGCTCTGGAGCCCTTGTCTGTGCCTCATTCTAGCCTGGGAGTAACTCCCAGGGGCCAGCGACCAAGGGCCAGGTCTTAGAAAGCCACTGGCTCCCCAGAGCACCCCCAACTCCCAGTGTGGAATGCAGGCCCAGAGGGAGAGAAATTGAGAAAAGAAAAGAAGGATCAAGAGAGAGAGAGAGAGAGAGAGAGAAAGTATCCAGAGAGGACAAAGGGAAAAGGGAAAAAGCGAAAAAAATTTGGGGGGGGGGGGCAGGTGGACAGCAAAATTCTGGCTGACTTTGGGTAGAGAGGGGAGATACAGAAGCTGGAGGACAGGCCACAGCCCCAGCCCTAGGACCTGCCCCCACCACTCCTTACCTCCTCCTCCTCCTCCTCCTCCTCCTCGTCCTCCATTCTCTTCCTCCTGCAGCGGACAGAGAGGTGGGTGTGGGCCCTCCATCCAGCCCTCAGCAGCTCCGCCTGGGCGGGATCCTCAAGCTCCCCCACCCGCAGCCTCCCTCTTATCTTCCCGCAACTAGCCCAGCACCCCCGGGAGGGGGGGGGTGTCAGTGGGGACATCAAGTCCCAGGGAATGTTCCCCAGTAACACGAACCCTCTCTTGTGACTGCTGATCCCACAGCCTTGTATCTCAGCCATCTGAAAGCCCTCAATCCAATGGGGGACCCATGACCCCTACCCCTGGGGAGCTCAAAGCCCAATGGAGGCAGTTCCAAACAGGCTAACAACCCACAGAGAGGATCCAGGCCCGCACAGATAAGCAGGGAGGACAAGTGCAAACGTTGGCTATCAGCTCTTAGAGAATGGAAGGGAAGGCCTGATTAGCACCCCTCTGGGGGGAAGGGATTTTAAGGCAAGTCTGAGGAGGGAGGGGAGAGAGCACTGTGGGGAGCGGAGGAGCCCATGCAGGCAGGCGCGGGGCCACAGAAAGTAGCAAGCATTTGTGGGACTGGATCAGCTGAGCTGAGGGAGGAAGAAAGCGACACCAGCAAGTGCCAGAAGTCAGACAAAAGTGTTCGGGGTTGAAAGGAGAGAAAGAGGGAGCCAGTGAAGGTTCCTGGGTGGGAGAGAGTGGATGTGAAATACCAGTTAGGGAAGAAGATTCTAGCATCCTGCGGGGAAATACCAGTTAGGGAAGAAGATTCTAGCATCCTGCGGGGCTAAGAAATGAAGTCCAGGAGACCCACGAGGGAGGCCCCTGGGATCAGCCTAATAGCGAGAGGGAGAGAATGGATTTGGGGAGGAAACAGAAATGAGGGAAGGAGAGAAGGCCAGGGAGACAGGACAGGGCCACCGGACGGCACACTAGAGCTGGATGAGATGCTGGGCGTCATCGGATCTACCACTCTCTACAGACCATCCATCCATCCACGCAGATGACAGGGCATGAGTTGTCCAGGGTCACTCAGAGGCAGTAGCAGAAGCAGGGCTGAAACACAGGACTCTCCGGCACCCCAGCTGGGACACGAAGGTGACTGGGCCCTGCCCCTCCCCACATGGAGCGTGCCTGCCTGCTGATGTGAGCTGACAGCACAGTGAGCTGGTGGCAGGGCCAGACAGATGCGTTTAGACCGCTGAGCTCCCTGAGGGCTCCCAGCCCTGGGCAGATCTGGAAATTGGATGGAGCCTGTCCCTGGCTGGCCCTGCCTGCGGTCTTCCAGCACCCCACATGCGCAAGGTCTCTCCGACACAGGCCTACCACCCTGTCTCGACCACTCAGGCTGCATCTGTCCCACTCACCCCTCAGCTGGGTCTCCCAAGAGAAGGTGGCAGGGGGACATTCTAGGGAAGAAGGAAAGGAAAGACTGGAGGTCCCAGGGACCTAGGAGGCTGTGCCCCTCCCTCTTATATACTATCACCCTCGGCTTACACTCTTAAGCACGGCTGCAGCCAGTGGAAATCTTTTAGGCAGGGGCTTCCAGATTCACACACGGATGAGGGTGCACGGGGCCGTGTACACGAGATGCATATTTACAGATATCCGTGGATACAGACGGACAAACGCACATGCGCACCACCAATAGATGTGCACCCGGCTGTACACACCAAGTCATGCAAGTTCACAGACACAGGCAAGGCCTTGGCTCTCAGGCAGGTGAGACTGAGCTCCCCAAGGGACAGCCCCCAACAGCTGGTCCCAGCCCAGAGGGAAGAGGAGAATAGGGTTCACTGACTCCAAAATAAATCTGTTTCCTCCCCTGCTGGGAGACAGGTGGGGGAGGGAGCAGGGCCCTCCTGGGGAGCCTGGTTCCTGCCTGGGGCCCCCTCGCCTGCCTCCCCTGAGTGCCTGCTTCCCAAGCAGGGAGGCCCTCCCCCGCTCAGCCCACGCTGCAGCCCCAGTTCCTGGACTCAGAGAACCTGACATTTAGATGAGGGCCAGAAGGGCTCTTGGGGGTCAAGTGGGAGGAGAAATGGAGCCCGGAGGAGAGGGAGACCCTCTCAAGGTCCACAGTGAGGTAGGAGCTGCAGCGGGATTAGAACCCAGGGCACCCTCTGCGCAGCCCGCTGCTCTCCAGAGCACAGAGCCCAGGCCAGAGCGGACAGGGACACTCCAGGAGTGCCAGAGGTGTATGGAGACAGACTCCCCCAAGAGCTTAGGCCAGGGAGGGGGACCACGAACCCAGCTCAGAAGCAGCCAAAGAGAACACAGAGTCCCTGGAACTCCATCTTTCAGAGAAGATAGAAGGTTGTTCACCTTCCAAGGGCCAAGAGTCTGGTGGTGGGCATGAGCATCCTGGCTCGCCCAGAACCATCCACCAGCCCCTTCTCCTGGGAAGACCAAACCCAGAGCAGTTAGGGAGATAGTCCACACTCCCACAATGCAAATGACCCAGCCAGGGCTGTCCCTGCCTCTCCGGGGGGACCCTCCTTCCCTCCAGGCCACAGAAGAAGGGCCATGGAGGGGGCGGGGCAAAGGGATCTCCCCTCCCCCCATTAAGGCTTCCTCAGGTGGGGCCAGGTGGCGGGACCAGGTGGGGGTACCTTCAGGCTGCAGTGCACAGCTGACTCGGGTGGGTACACGATGAAGTGGCGGAGGGTGAAGCCAAAGCCATCCTGGAGACTTTTGTGCAGCAGCAGTGTCCGCGGCCCCTGCCAGGGGAGGGGGTGCCCCGGGGAGCACCCATCTCTCGGGCCCAGTGGCAGCTGTTGGAGCATAGGGAGACAGGGTTGAGTGGCCATGCGGCCCACGCCCCTGAGTCTGCACACTGCCTCCCGCAGCCAGGAGGAGGGATGGGGGACAGCTGGTGGGGGGGCGTGGGCCCTGGGGGGTTCCAGGCCCCCTCCCCTGCTCCCCACCTCCCCCTCCTCCTTACTCCCTTCTTTCCTCTCCCACCCTCCCCAGCCCAAAGCTGCTTCTTTCTTTCTCTCCCCTCCATTCCCACAGGTTGCCTTTGCCTCCAGGGAAACAAGTCTCCCCAGCCAACCACATTCTCATTCAGGTCAGTTTGGCAAATGTTTACTGAGCACCTACTATGCTCCAGGAAGTGCACACACAGACTGCTTGCTGGGGAAGTGCCTGCTGCCGTCCACACTCACTGATGCCTGCTGCACCATCACACACACACGCACACATGCACACACACGTCAGCACGCACTCCTGCAGTGAGAACAGCACACACCCAGAGAAGCACACTCTTGTGCAAAGGTGCACAAGGACGGACACACAGAGGAGCAGACACACACACACACACTTACATTAGACAAACATGTGCACACCCAGTCGCACATAATCAGGGTCTTGCACAGCACATAAATACAGACACAGGCCCCCGGCATATGCTGCAGACACACAGACACGCACGTGTGCCGACAGACGGGAGCGCAAACATGCATCCTTCAGGAGCAGCAGCAACAGCAGGTGGGGGACTAGAGCCACGAGGGAGCAGCCCAGACCCCAGACAACCAAAGGGACTTCCTGAGGCTCTGGAGCCCAGCCAGAGGCCTGGCTATTCGTGGGATGGAAGAGGGGAACCGGGTTGGGGGTGGGGGAGGCCCTCTACTGCTCTCTGGCTGACCAGATGCAATCCTTGGGATTCCCCAAGATGACCTGGCAGAGGGTGTCTGAAGACCACGGTTTGGGGGCACACAGGTCTGCTTCTGGAGCAGGAGGGACAAGAGCACAGACACCCCCTGAGAGAGGGCTCTCTCTTCAGATTCTCTGCTCAGACGCAGAGAGGGAATGTGGGTGACAGAAGGGTGTCAGACAGACGCGTGACCAGGGCGGTGGACGGCAAAGTGGAGAAGACGGTGAAAAGCCAGGATGCCTCCCTTGGGGCTTTTAACCCCCAACTGCAGGCATCCTAACCTATCTGAGGACCCTCATCCAAACCTCAGAGGGCAAGGAACCCTTTTACCCCCACCCTCAACAGTCCTCAACCCCCAACTCCTCCCAGCACCAGCACTAGGCAGGAGTCCTCAGGGGAACAAAGGCAACTGGGTGGAGAGGGAAAAAGCCCGTGGGCTTAGTGGGTGAGAATTTCCCTCCCCCGCCCCCCAGTAAGTCCCTTTCTCTACCCCCCACCCCAGTATAACAGCTAAAGAAAGTTCAAATTTGCCACTCCAATGAACGGATACTAAGACACTCCTTCATGTATCCCTGCCCCAGCCTGTTCACACTTCTGGTGGAAAGCAGACCTGGGCCCAGCCCTTTTGCTAGGGATTTCTTTTTTCCTTCCTTCCTTTCTTTCTTTCCTTCTTTCTTTCTTTTTTTCTTTCAGAGTTTGTTTGAGAGAGAAAGAGAGTATGAGAATGGGGAATGGGTTTCCTTCCTTCCTTCCTTTCTTTCCTTCTTTCTTTCTTTTTTTCTTTCAGAGTTTGTTTGAGAGAGAAAGAGAGTATGAGAATGGGGAATGGGAGACAGAGAACCAGGCTCTCCCAATGTGGGACTCGATCCCAAGACTGTGGGATCACAACCAGAGCGGAAGGCAGATGCTTAACCGACAGAGCCACTCAGGCACCCTCACTAGGGACTTCTGTGTGGGGTGGAAAGTGGGACCGCAGTTACACAGGCTTGGGAGAGCGGGTGGATTGTCTGGTCTCAGAAGATGAAAGAAAAACATGACAGAGGTGGGAGGCTGGCTTCACGTAGTCCCAGAGAACATGGCCAGGTGGAAGGTACGGGGGCCTGAGCGAGGCTCCAGGCCAGGGCAATCATTCCAATCATATCCATTTAGAAAGCTTGTCAGATGAGGTTGTGAGTACTCATTCCCCTGAGAGGTCCAAGCAAAAGAACTCCCCAGTCCCGGTGGTGCTCCCCAGTCCGGGCAGCCGTGGCATTCCATGGATTCCGGCATGGGGTGGGAGGCCTGGAGATGGACCCTTGGCTCCTTCCACTTGTAGCTAGAGCCCCCCCCCCCCCCCGCCCAAGTTCCACCGAGCCCCACACCCCCCATGGGGGGGTCTGAAGAGTCCAGAAGAGAAAATTCTCTGGGAATTCTGCTGAGGTCTGAAATCCCCAGGATTTCCTATCTCTGCTGACTTGGCAAGGAACTGATGGGGGAGAGAAGAGGGCCTGGGGGACCCTCCCTGCCTGTTCCTACCAGAAGCCCCTGCTCCTCCCCAGTGTTAGCTGCCTCCCCTGCACACCTCTCCCCCCAGGCTCAGAGATGAGGCTGTTTGCAGGGCCCAATGTTTTGCTGGTGTCCTGGATTAAGGTTTAAGCCACCAGCTGCCCCATTGACGAGAAGTGGCTGGGACAGGTCCCCGCACGCCCCCCACCCCTCCTCCAGCACACATCCTGCCCTGAGCAGCCAGTGGCCTGGGGGTGCCCCTCTCTGGGGGCCTTGCTGTAACCCAGGTCAGGGGGCAGGTCTTCTCCTCTCAGGTCCCTTCTTGGCCCAAGCCCCACTGGCACCCCCTCCCTTGTCTCTGCCTCTCCCTTTCCTCTTTTCCTTCCTTCCAGTCTCCCTTCCCCCATCCCTTCCACCCAGCTCCTGAGAATGTCCATGTGGGAATCCCCCCGTCATAGCCACTACACCCCTGCCTGAAGAGCACACAACTCCCATCAACAGCTAGATCTGGCAGTGCCCCTGTGGGAAGTTCTTCCTTGGATTTAACCTCAATCCTTCACGCTATGATGCACACATTTCCTCTCCTCCCCTCTGACCTGGGACAACACCAGGTCTGGCTCTCGTCTTGACAGGGAGTGAGGGGGTAGACACAGAAACAGAGAAGGAGTCAACATTGGGAATAGAAAGGCAACTAGATGGGGAAGGGGTTCAGCTCACACACATCCTTACTTCTGCCTCTCCGGGGGAGGCACAGAGACAAGGGGATGTGGAGAGAGAGAGACTCGGGGGGACACGGGGACATCACTGATTTCCACTCTCCTGGTCCAGACAGAGACATCCAGAAATGCCAGCTGATGGTGGGAAGAGGGCAGATGGCCCCAGGGCCACAAGTGAGACAGAGGACACATGGTAGGTTAGCAACACCAGGAACCAGAACCCAGGAGTCCTGCTCCTCCCCGCTAGTAGCATAAAGAGGTCATTGCGAGAGCACAGCCTTCATGCTGGGCACGATGCCCACTGTGACTCACGCCCTACCAGCCTGGTCGATCCCGGACAGCAGACACACTGTCCCCACCCCCTATCGCCATGCCTGTCAGTCCTCTCCCTGAGATCACTCATTACACCTCTGCCCACTAGGAAGCCCTCCTGTGCCCTGTGCCCACCGCCCCTAATGGGGAGATGGCCAAACGATGCCCTCCACTCCACTTACTAACACCCTTGCCTGCCTCTGACTCGGGGTTCCTGCCCAGCAAACTCCTCAGGACTCTGTGCCCCAGCATCTCTTCCAACAACCCTGGTCCCTTCCATCCTTCCACTACGTGTAAACCCAGATGCTTGAGCCACTGGAGGCAGCCCCCCAGACTGGGAGGCCCACATCCAGCACCCCCAGAAAAGCTCCCAGCCACAACCTGCCACCCTCGCCCACATCTCTCCAGCTCCTCACTCCCTCCCCACTCCGGGGCCTCCGTCCCAGAATGCCGGTCAGCTCAAAGAGCCCAAGGAGCTGGTGGCCCAATTGCACCCCCCCACCCACCAGGACGGGGCCCCAGTCCAACTCTCGTCCCGCAGCCCCGTGGCGCTCACCCTGGCACTGCACGGCCCCCGCGCGGGGAGATCGCTGTGGGCGAGGCAGGGCAGCCAGAGACAGCGCGGCTCCGGGGCACTGCAGTCCACGCCAACGGCTCGCTCCCAGCGCCAGCCCCGGGCCCCCGCCCGCTCCACGCGCCACACGGCGCTGCCCACGAGCGCGGCAGCCGGCGGGGGCCCCAGGGCCCGGCCGCCGCCCCGGCCCCACGGCGCCGCGGGCCGGGCTTCCGGAGCGGGGCGCGCAGCGCGGGGGACCCTGGGGGCTCCAAGGCGCCCGGCCGGCGGCGTCCTCGGTACCCCGGGTGGCAGGCGGGCCCCGGGGGTCCCCGCCCGCCCCCCGGAGCCGCGGGTCCGAGACCCAGGGGCCCCGAGGGGATGGACGGCCCGCGCGGACGGCGGCAGGACGGCTGCACAGCTCCGCGCCTCCCGCGCCTCCCCGGCCGCAGAAGGCGCCTGAGCCCGGACACGCCGGCGAGTCGCGCCCGGCAGACGCCTCCCCCTCCGGGGCGGCCCCTGTGCGCGGCCGTCCCGATGCCACACACTCACACACACCCACACACGCGCGGGAGGCACTATACAGCGCCCCCGCGCAGCCGCACACCCTGGCCACGGGCACACACGTATACACACACCCTCACCCTCCCGCACGACGGAAGCTCACACGGTGCCTCGGCCCACACGCACGCAGAGTTGTACTCGGCAGGACACGCGCGCATCCAACTTCACGTGCCCAAGAAACGCCTTCACTGGGGCACATATGTACACGCACACCTACCCACCCCGTACAGACCCACACAACACACACACACACACACACCTATACAGCCGCTACTCTCCCATCCACACACATACTCTCACTCTCCCTCTGTCCACAGACCCCACATAAACGCACTGTTCCCCTCACATATGTATTGTGGGGGGACACCTTTCCTTACATGCTTTGGATACCTTCCCATGCAAATATGCCCCCCACACCCCACACACACACATTTGCAAACATACCCACTGTGTTCCTAAAAGCACACCAGACGCCCCCCGCCCCGGTAC